TTGTTTTCTGGGTGCCCAGATATTATTGGACAATATGACTTGACTGGTCTTTGCCATTGCAGCCCTTCATCCTGTGGACACTAGAGATGTAGAAATGGAGGTCCCTAGATGATGTAGTAACAAGAAAAATATATCTGTCACTGAACAGATATGGTTATAAAGGAAGATAGTGTGAGGTCAGCTAGGTGAAGCCTGGGAGACCTGTGGGACTGACTCTACTTTGGTGAGCAGCATGTGCTTGCTGATTTTCTTAGCAAGAAAGTGACTTCATTGAATCATTATTCATCAATTCACTCAAGAAATGCTTTTTCTGTCTGGCTGACCCCCTGGATTTCATGGTCTCAATAAATTTATCACTCTGCAAGGTGAACTCTGAAATTCATACCTCCTCACACGACTTCCCACCATGAACTGAAGGACTTCATTTTGCCCACAGCTGGCTAACCTCTTCCTCCGCCCCCTTCTCAGCATCTTTTTATGTGTCGTCTCCCCCCCATTAGACTGTGAGCTCCTTGAGGCCAAGGACTGTCTGATACCTTTCTTTGTATCCTAATCTTACTGACAATATCCTGAAATGCCACAAGATGGCAACATTAGTTATTCCATAAAAAAATAGATTTTTCTTCCTATAGAAAGTACCCACAATTTCCAGAGTATTTCTACTCTGGTTAAGGTTTTTCACCTGTGAAAAATGAGGAAAAGAAGGATGTCCAACCCAGCAATACATTTAAGCTTCAGGCAGAATTTTTAAAGATTTGTCACAAATTATATAAGGTTTTCTTCCATCTCCCTCAAAGAAAATCAGTATTTGTAGGTTAGCCTTCATTGTCCTTCTCTCCCTTAATGGGTCTATAGGGCCACTTCTTGGTCTGCTTTTCTCTATGCCTCTTATGACTTTTCCTTACTTCCTTCTTTTATTCTCTTTTTTCCTTCTCTCTGCTGTCTCTCTCAACTGGCTGTTACATAAAACTGAAGCATAGGGGGCAGGTAGGCGGCAGCCAGGTGGCACAGTGGATAGAGCACCGGTCCTAGAGTCAGGAGGACCTGAGTTCAAATCTGCCCTCGGACACATAACACTTACTAGCTATGTGACCTTGGGCAAGTCACTTAATCCCGTTGCCCCCAAAAAACTAAAGTGTATTTGTAAAACTTTAATTTGTTTTATTTAATGAATAGGCTTGTTTCCTGTTTAAAAATTTTTTTTAAAAAAGGATAGGTATCATTATACTTTTCCTCTTTAAAATAAATGTTAAAAATATAAAGCATTTTTTTTCTTTTGTGGTTTCCAATGATTCGCCCCATGGGTTAGAACTCTTTCCAAAAAAGGTTTCTTATACTGTTCACTACAGCCTTTCTAGTCTCCTATGCCATGCGGAGTCAATGCAGAAAGGCTGTTTTACCTTTTAAAAAATTTTTAAAAAATTTTGAAGCCATCAGGATTAAGTGACTCGCCTAGGGTCACACAGCTTCTAAGTGTCTGAGGCAGGATTTTAACTGAGGTTTTCCTGATTCCAGGGCTGCACTCTAGCTACTTCACCACCTAGCTGCCCTATGGCTAAGTTTTATAAGGGAAGAGTTTATCACATTATCAGAAGAATGTGAAACATGGGAAGATAAACATAAAACATCCTTAGTCTTAATGGAGGAAGAAAACATGATCAGGCACGATCTTCCATCAATTTAAAATAATGCTTCAAATATGAAGAGCAGGTGTAAATACAGTGTCTTCCAAAACTCTTAGTGCAGTTTTAAGCTTTTATAGTTTAAACCTGACATCCCGTATAAATCACTTCAGTTTTTCTGCATCTATATAGCCAATCTATAACTAGATATGCCTATGTGTAGTTGTTGTTGTTGTTCAATCATTTCAGTTGTGTCTGACTCGCTGTGATCCCATTTGAGGTTTTCTTAGCAAAGATACTGGAGTAGTTTGCCATTTCCTTCTCCAGTCCATTTTATAGATTTATAGAAATTTACAGAAAATGAGGCAGAGTCAAGTGAGTTGCCCAGGGTCACACAGCTAGGAAGTGTCTGAGGCCAGCTTTGAATTCAGGAAGATGTGTCTTCCTGACTTCAACCCTCCCACTCTATCCACTGCGCCCTCGGTTGCCCTGCTGTGTGTGTGTAGAGAGAAAGTTGTACAAAATCTTTCTTACAGCCTTATAGAATTATCTTAATGCTCATGGCATTATTGAAGTGTACTTCCATTGAATGAGCCAGGTTCTTCTGGTTTTGTAAATGGTACAGAGTTAAGCTAATAAGCAGGCATATTTCAGACTCAACAATATCTTTCAGGGTTCTTGGACTCTAATATAAATGTTAAATACACCCCAACATGCCCTGCTGCATACTAGTGGATTGACAGTTGTGAATTCTTCCCCTCCTCCCAACACTCCCCTTCTTCACTGTCATCAAAAAAGTGCCTAATTTTGTGATAGTGACAAATAGAATCACCATGTTTTTAAACCGGAAAGAACGGAGATATCGGACCTAAATAATTTGCAAACGTATAGAGACTAGACCTGATTTTACTTTGAGGTAGGTCCCTCTACCACTGCAGCTCTTCATCTTCCCTTTGACTTGTCTCCTTAGCTGCCCACATCAAGAGATTCAAGTCTCTTGCCCAGAATTACATGTCCAGTCCATGTCAGAGGTCAGACTCGAACCCAGGTTATCCTGGCAATGAAGCCAGCTATTCAACCACTACCATACACTGCTTCTCTGTTGGCTGCGTAGAAATTGGGGGGATGGGAGTGGGGTAAAGAATTAGTTCACAACTTTTCAAGAACATGTAATTACTTATACTTAATCTTAGACCCCTATTAAAAACAAAGTCCCTACTTAACTGCCTATGATGGAAACAGAGTACATTTTTAATGAACTGGCTGTCAAGTTAAACTGGGGAGAGTGGGGAGCAAGGTATTGATTTGAGCAGTTTGGGGTTTCCTTCCAGTCAATGAAGGAGCTTGTCCCAGGGTCCCCAGGTGGGTGATTTCCAAATCACTGTGGGTATGTGTATCACTCTATCCAATTTTTCTCTAATTATGTCAGAAAAGGAATGGTGTGGCAGGGGACTCTTGTAAGCTAACCTAGGTCTGAGAAACTTTATTTAGGGAACAACTTAGGAAGTTTAGTACCATTCTGTCTGGGTATTTTTGTTCAGTGAGGACTAGCACCTCTGGTATGAACACTTGCCAGCATGGGCCCTGAAGTCAGGAGGACCCGAGTTCAAATCCAGCCTCAGACCAAACAGTTGATACTTACTAGCTGTGTGACCCTGGACACGTAACTTAACCCCAACTGCCTAAAAAAAAAAGACTGATATGAACACTTGCCAAGCCATTTTCAGGGCTGCTCATCCACATTTGCTATCCGCCTTCACCCAACTCTCACCTGTGGCTCCAAGGAGCTGTAGCATTTCACAGCAGCCACACCCCTGTAAAGCATCTTGGCAAATGGCCTAAACCAGGTTGAGGGTAATGGACAGGCCTCAAACCCATCGGTGAGTTAGAAGTATGTGTATCTCAAGGACATGAAGACTTTCTCTGGCAGAATGGGCAGATAAGAACAACTTGTTCCAGTGGTCATGAAGGCAGCCAAAGTAGGCACTGTAGAGAGCTTGGTCAGACATTGAAGATGCGAAGGTCATCCACTACACCCTGGGCCAGGGCCATCACTAACCATCTTGACTTTTGTCCTGGCACTGGACTTCGATGACTCTGGAAGACAGGATGAGGCCAACGACTTTGTGCAACTCTGTCTCACTTAAATCCAATTCACTTGAAAGTCAAGGCATCAAGACATCACTCCAGGATGTCACTGGTCCTCTTTGAAATGAAGGACAAATACTAACATCAACTGATTATATAATTACATGATGGCAACATAACTCTTCATATTTATGTATTGCTTTATAGTTTTAAAAAACACTTTCCTCACAATAACCTTGTGAAATAGCTATTGTTCCTATTTTAAAGATGAGAAAAGGAGGCTCAAAGTGGCTGTGACTTGCTCAGCATCACACAGATATAGTAAAGTGTGAGACTTCAAGTTTTCTAGACTCAGTGAATGTGGGTAGTACCAATGCAGTATGTCTTTTGACCTCCTACTGGAAAGGGGAAGCTCAGGACCCACTAATTTCAACCCTGACCTACCTTTACTTAACACCTTTCATTCCTTCTGTTTTGAATTCTTAACAATATCATCAAACTCATCCAGCATAATGTATGCAGGACAGATCTAAATCTAATTTCTTCTATATTGCTATACAATTCCAAACAGTTTTTGTCACTTCCTAAGTATTATCCTGGTAGCTGGGGGGGGGTTTGCATTTATCCAATACTAGAGTATTAGATGCAACTAGCTGATAAGGTGTATAGATTCACTGGCCCTGGAGCCAGGAAGACAAGTCCAAATTCGGCCTCCAACTCTTACTATGTGTGACCCTGAGCAAATCACTTAACCTCTGGCTGCCTCCCTGTCCTCATCTGGAAAATGGGATCATAATAGGCTATCTCATACAGGGTTGTAGTAAGGGGTCAAATGAGATATTTGTAAAGTACCTTGTACACATGGGCACTTAATAAATGCTTGTTCAGTCCTTCCTCTTCTTTTACGTTGTGTTTGTTTTGCTCTGTTTCACTCGTTGAGTGATCTGTTTTTTCATCAGCACCGAAATGAGTTATTGATAATTGCTTTGTTGTCTACTTTGAGATCGGGCACTGCCAGGTCTCCATAATCAATGCAGTTTCAGCAGATGTTCTTAGAGGAGCGGCTAGCTTCTTCCCATCACAACCTCAGACCCAGGGCTTGGCTGGTCAATTTTCAACACAGTTGACCCCACTTCCCTTGCTAGCTCGCTCTCTCCCTCCCTCCCTCCCTCCTTCCTTCCAGTAGTCTTTCAAAAACCGCCAGGGGAGGCGGGGTCTGAGGAGTGGCCACGCCCTCTCCCGAGCTCTGGGAGCTAATTGGTCCGAGCCCTGGAGGAGGGGGCGTGGAACCGCGCTCGTTACACGACGCCGCGCCTGGCGCCATTTTGTCAGCTTGGGTACGCAGCGCGGCTGGCGTTTGGGTGGTCCGTTCTGAGGCCCCCCATACCGTGTCACTCCGCTGCAGGCCCGCGTTACAGCCTCAGGTTGGATCCGGGAAGCGGTCCCGGCCCGGCCGGCGGAGGGGGCGGCGGTGGCGGCGGCGGCGGCAGGATGAGCGCGGAGGCTGCGGACCGGGAGGCGGCCACCTCCAGCCGGCCCCGCACCCCGCCCCAGACGTGCTGGTTCGAGTTCCTGCTGGAGGAATCGCTGCTGGAGAAGCATCTGCGTAAGCCCTGCCCGGGTAAGAGCCTAGCGCCACCGGCAGCATCGGGGGAACTCGGGGTCTCGCCGTCTCGCCTCGGCCGAGCTTCTTAGCCCTTGAGGGGGAGGGGCGCGGGGAGGGTGTACGCCTCCCGGCCGCTGCATGTGCGCACGCAAACACACACCCGCGTACGCAGCGCGCCCACGCACGCACAAACAGACAAGCCTATTTTTCTCTCCCTTGAAATTATTCTCGTATACACGACTTTTCTTTCCTTGAAATTATCCCCTACGGCACACACCTCCTTTAAATTACTCACCTACTACACACAGCTCCTTTTCTGCCTTTAAATTTAGCTCCCTACCACTCATGTTTCTCCTCTTGAAATTAACCCTCTCCTAAGGGACGTTTCTTCCCTTGAAATTACTCCCCTACCGTACACATCCCTCTCTCATTACAATGACCTCCTGCTACACATACCATCCTTTTTTGCCTTGAAACTACTCCTGTCCACATAATACGACCCCCCCCATCCCACCAGGCACACAAGGGATCCGTGGTCCTTTGCTTGAGATGCTCGTGAATGAGAGCAGCTCGAGATAGTCTATTCTACTTTTAGATAGCTGTAATAGGAAGGTTATTGGCAAATCCAAATCAAGTTGGTGCCCTTGCTACTTCCATTTAAATATTTTCGTCAAAGATATCTATGATACAGTAATAGACTTTTCAGTAATGTTGTATAGTGATGAGACAGTAGGCATATCCATCAGTAGTTTTTCTTCTCATCTATATTTTGTTCTTAATATTATCTGCAGTATTTGCCATTGTTTTCAAATCTTCTCCCTCACTGAGTTTTCTTAAAAAAAAAAAAAGAGGTCCCTGCATGTTTTTTAAGTTATGTTCCCTGTACATCAGGGATTCTTAGCCTGAGGTTCACAGACCTCCAAGGGGCCCGTGGATAAATGTCAGGGAGTCCATGAACTTGGATGGGAAAAATATTTCATGAGGCAGTATAATTAGTTTCCTTCGTAATTGTTGTGAGTGGTTTGCCATTTCCTTCTCTAGCTCATTTTACAGATGAGGAAACTGAGGCAACCAGGGTTAAGTAACTTGCCCAGGGTCATGTAGCTAGTGTCTGAGGTCATATTTGAATTCAGATCTTCCTGACTATTCAAGACCCCACCTAGGTGCCCTTTCTATTGTAATTATATATATTTTATGCATTCATGAATATTTTGAGAAAGAGTCCATAAACTTCACATTAGATTATGAGCTTCTGGAGGCCAAAGTCTGTCTTTGTATCTCTAGCACTTAACGCAGTGTCTTGCACATACTGGCTTAATCAGGGCATATTGACTGACTGATCATTCTGCCAAAGGGATCTACTACCCAGAAAAGATTAAGAACCCTCAACTCTAGATCTCCTCTCTATTAGACCAGGTCCTACTGCTCTCCCTCACTTAATTTTCCTTAGTGTCCACCTGCCTGCTGGGTAGATATAAGAAGTGTGAGAGACTTCTGCTTGATGTTGACTTCTTGGGTGGGACTGCTGCCAGAGGTGTGGAGCAGCTCATTGGTCCTCTGGGTCTCTGGTTGATTGGTAAGCTGGGCTGGAAGAGAAAAGGAAAAAAAGAAACCACCATAACCTCTGGTCCTGTTGGGGTTGAAAATATTGGAGATTGGAGCTTGTTCTGGGTTTTTGGAGCCCAGAGATGCTGGTGAAACTAGCCTAGCCTCTCCAGTATGCCCTGGATAAATTATTTGGGAATGGGAATATAATAATAATAGTCTCTGTAGAGTAGTGAGCAAAAGGTGGTTTCTTGCCCCAAGCCAGACACTGTATAGGAACTCTTGTGAACCTGTCTCATCTGTAAAATGAGGGTGCCTGTACTCACATTGCTCACCTCACAAAGTGAAGAAAGAGCTTTATACATGATAAAGCAAGTAAGCATTAGTTGCTGTATTGTGTGAGGATGTTAAGGATTTCTTACCTTTTGTACTTCAGTAACTTTTGGGGTATTTGAAGGGATAGAAAACATTAGCCTGGGAGTTAGACTTGGTTTCCAGATCTGGCTTTCCGTTTTACTAGTTTACTCAATCTGTGTTGCTGTTTCCTTAATTTCTTAAATGAGAAATAATGTCAGTCCCACCTACCTCCCAAGGTGCTTGTGGGAACAAAATGCAATAACCTCACAAATTTTTAGAGCTAACTGAAATTAGAGGTCAGCATCTCTGTTTTATAGATGGACAAATGTCTTAGAGAAGTCTCAAGACACAGAGATGAGTAGAATATTAAGTCAGGTGACAATGTTAACAGTTACAGTGTTTTTGCTATAATAGAAGTCAGGGGATAGTCATCAGTATATTCAGCAAACATGTTCATTATCCTTATACCAGTTGGGCATGTTTTTGGTGGATTAGAGAACTTAAAACACTCCATACAACAGATACACAGCTTAATCTTGAAAGGTATGCTTCCCTAACAGCTAGTACACGATTTTTTTAAAAGTATGTTTTTTTCCTTGTCTGTTATAGCATTTATCATCATTGAAGCCTGTTATACTAGACAGTAGCGTGGTTTACTTGGGCAGTACTGCCCACTTTCTCTCTGTAAAGTTCACTGGTTCTGTATGTGATGATTTAAAGAGAAAAAAAGCTGCTATTTGGTTAGTGCTGCCTAACCAAATGAGTTCTGTAGGGACCTGTAGCATATGCCATGTCTGGCTGGGAGTGTAGAACATCATACTTTTCCCACCTTGTACCCCTTGAAACATATTTCTCATTTCTCCCCACCCTATCTCATAGCACAGAACTTATTTGTAAGTAGGTTATGCCATATCCTGTATAAGCAGTTGATTGGATATCTAGTCAGGGTGAGAAAAAGGATTGTTGATTTCCATATCACCAAAATTAAAACTGCATCTGCTTTTTTTTTTTTTAACTTAGATCCTGCACCAGTTCAGCTGATAGTTCTGTTTTTGGAACAGGCTTCTAAACCTTCAATTAATGAACAGAACCAGGTTCAACCTCCAGCTGATAACAAGAGAAATCGAATTTTAAAACTTCTTGCTCTTAAAGTTGCTGCTCATTTGAAATGGGATTTAGACATATTAGAGAAAAGGTATGCAACTTCAAACTGAATTTATCTAAAGTACTATTTTTGGTATTAGTTTTTTTTTAACGTCTGGCATTTAAAGGTAAATTTATTTTGATTTCTATTCTTAATTAAATTTGAAAATGTTTTAGTAAGTATAAGAATACATCTAGATGTAAGATATATAAATGACTTTTAAAATAAAATACAAGAAAGAGACTGATTAAGACTCAATAGTACTGTGAACTGTACAGTTTTTTATGCCATAAATGTGATAAAATAATTTGGTAGAGAATGTATTGGCAGCTTTGTAGCCATAGGAAATTTATATCAGGTGAAATACTTTTTAAAATGTTAAGAAATTACTTTTATCTTTAGGTGGTAAAAGTAAGTGGTTATTGATTTAGAAGAAGTGGATAATAATGAGACTGTTATTCAATTAGTGACAGTTTTGTTACTGGCAAAGTTCTTTCCAAAATTAATACTGCATCTTTTGAGGTACTAGAATGAATTTTTATTTGTTTAGAAATAATTAATTTTTTCTTAGGCAGCAAAAAGAAAAACATGTTTCTTTATTAATAATAAATAGTTTTAAGGTGAACAGTTTTCACAATTGGAAAATAATTTTATGCAAATGTGTTCAATTTGCTAGATTAGTCTTCAGTTTAGAGTTGTACTTGGAGTCCTTTGATTTGAATTATATACATTGAAAATTTTTTTTGTTCTTCATGCATCTGATATTTAAAACTTCAAGGATTTGTGTTGATTTTGGTGCAGGTACTTTAATTGATTTAGATCACATGCAGTTCCTCAGTGCCTTAGATCTTCTGTGGAATAAAAAAATTCATGACCTGGTGGCCAATTTTGCCTGTTCAAACTTAGATTGATTCGTAGAAGTCAGTACAGGCCTATATTTCCAGGCCTGTATTCAAAGCCTACTGTCTTGTTAAGATCCTTGCTAGTATAGCTTTCAAAAACCTCAAGTTGTCTTCATGCTGTGAGACTTCAAAATTGGACTTTAGTGGAGGATGCGTTTAATAAAAGTATAAAAACCCAACCAATAGAGAATATGCTTGCTTTCTTTTAGCTTGTCAGTTCCTGTTCTAAATATGTTACTGAATGAACTGCTGTGTATCAGTAAAGTTCCTCCAGGGACAAAACATGTAGATATGGATCTATCTACTTTACCTCCAACTACTACCATGGCTATTCTACTCTACAATAGATGGTAAGTCCAAAGATGGTAGTGTGCTAGGCATCTTTCAATGTAACAAGTTCCACTTTTACTTTTAATATTATCTCTTTTGAGTGCTGTAACCACCATGAACAGAAGCTTCCTTTTGTGTAGTAGGATTTCCAAAAGATATGAAATTTTGTGAGGGCATTCTTTGAGGATGTAATAGGTATTCAGATAACATTCCTCCCTGGGTGCTCTGGGAAACTTGACTTGCCAGGATATTTCTGTAACTGCTAGATGTTAGTTTTTAAACATCAGTAAAGAGCAGCTTGTGCTCCCTTATGTAATGATTTCAGAAATATTATTCATTATTCAAAACCTCAATTGTTTTATACTATAAGAAAATCTTAAGTTGAGTTTTTTGAGGGAAATGTATTTAATTATTATGTTTGTAACTATTTTAAATTCTGTATTTTTATTTCAGGGCAATTAGAACAGTTGTTCAAAGTAGCTTCCCCATCAGACAGGTGAAACCTGGACCTCCCCAACTGAGTGTGTAAGTTGGCAAGGGTACTTTGATGTATTGAAACCACTGTTGAGTTCTATTTATGTCAGAATTGGATTTCTGGAAGGTTTTTAAAAAACTGACCTCTTTAGAAATTTCTGGTGTCATGAAAAGGAAAATATAATGTCTTAATATGATTTATATATTTTTATCTCATTTGATCCTCACAATAACCTTATGAGGTTTGTAGTTGCAGGTATTATCCTCATTTTGTAGATAAGGAAAGTGTTATAGAAGCTGATGATATGCTTGAAGTGGTACTGTTAGTGATTAGTGGAGTTGAGACTTTAGCCCAACCTGTCTGCTGCCTCTCAAATGGTCCAGTATACATTTAACTATCTTTTTAAAAAAATTTTATATTTTATATTTTGTTTTTCCCCAGTTACATGTAAAAACAGTTTTTAACATTTCTTTTTAAGCCTTTGAGTTCCAAGTTTTCTCCCTTCCTCCCTCTCCACCCACCCTCATTGAGAAGGCAAGCAACTCGATACAGGTTATACATATGTAGTCATGCAAAACTTATCCATAATAGTCATATTGTGGAAGAAAACAGATTAAAAAAACCCCTCAAGAAAAATAAAGTTTAAAAAAGTTATATTAACTATCTTAAAATAGTGTAGATTAAGTATTTCTTCCTAGATTATTAGGAAAGGAATAGAGTACTCAGAGAGCCAGTTTCCTAAAGTCCATGCAGTTGTTTACATGAAAATATAGAGTGCATTCATTATATACAAACACACACAAGATGTTCTAGCCTTAATAGTTTAAAAATATATTTTATAGTCTCTGTAAGTAGGGCCATGATGTCATTCTTAATTTTTTAAAGAAACACATGATTCAAAGTGACACATAAACACACACTCTCTCTCTCACACACACACACACACACACACGCACACGCACACGCAAACTCACGTACATGTGTATAATTTGACTGTCATGTCATGGGATCTCAGTGGTCTTTGCCTCTCTTTCTTACCCCACATCCCACGTTCAGATGAATATTATCACCAGTTTAACCAGGGTTGCCTTCTTTTTCGTTCAGGTCTTCAGCTTTTGCTTTCTTTGTATGGGGGAGGAAAGTGTTTTGGTTCAGATATTCTTCCCCTCTGTCCTGGATCTGTGCTATTTATAAAGATAATCAAGATTAGTGTTAACAAATCTTTAGAACACGGTGTTAACAAGAATTTGGATGATCAACAAATGAAGATGATGGAAAATTAATTTTATATAATGATTCCTAACAAGAATTTGGAAGATTAACAAATGAAGATGATGGAAAATTAATTTTGTATAATGATTCCTTTAGAGATTATTAATGCCTTTGCCATATTTGTATATGCTACTAGAAGTTTCCTGAAATCTGCAATTCTGTATTAATGCTACTGTTTTATACAGAAGCAGTTGGTGACAGTGGCACAGTGGTAGGGTGCAGGGCCTGGCATCAGAAAGAGCATATTTAAGCTTAGATCTTCCTGGCTCTAGGCCCAGCGCTTAATAAATGTTTATTTCCTTCTTTCATTCCATATAGCTGAAACTAGATGTAGTTAGAAATTAAGCAGTTTTCAGTATCTTTTCGTATATAATTGATAGATGAAGAGTTACAAGTAGTGCTTTTACTATTATTTATTTTTACTAACACATATACTTTGGTACATCATGGGGTGAAGGGAATAGAAAGCCAGTCTGAGTCAGGAAGATTTGGGTTCAGGTGCTACCTGTGAAACATACTGGCATGTGACCCCTGAGCAAGTCCCTTTCCTTTCATAGACCCAGGCAACTCTCTAAAATGAGTAGTTACAAATTTACATTGGTAAGGGGTATTTTTATCACGAGGAGTTTCTTTTTCCAATGAAGTTACAGATCTGAACCCTCTAAATTGCTGTGCTCTAATACTTTAACATCAGGTTTTGGAATTTCCTATTTTCAGATTGAGATTATTTTTGTAAAGCAGATACTAAAATATTAATTAAAATGTGGATATAAAACATTGCTATGCTAAAAACTATGCATTATTCATAGGGATATGTCCTATACCTGTGGTTTCATTTATACAAGGAATTCTTTGTATACTCAGGGGAACTAAGCTTGTAAGATGAATGCTTGACATCTGTTATTTGAAATTTTCTCTGCTAAGTGACTTAATTTGAATATAATGAGTTATTGGCTCCTCCACAATGTAAATCAAATGTGCTTCCTAATTCTCATTTTCAAATATTTCCTTTTCATCTCACCCTTTTAGTATGAATCAAATGCAGCAAGAGAAGGAGTTAACAGAAACCATTTTGAAAGTGGTGAGTGCTAATGTCAATTAATAACTTTAGAATTTTGAAACATATTCAAGCATGTTAAAAACAATCTACTAAATATAGTATGGTATTAGATGAGTGTCAACTGTAAGATTCAGTGAAGTTTAGTTCTTTGCTGTTGGATTATGATTATAGGCTTTTATTAGAATCATACATTTAGAACTGAGAGGGACCTTTAAAGTTCATCTAGTCCAGTCCACGTTTAGCACTCTTCACTGGACTATACCAGTTTTTACTAATTATTCAAATTATTTTCTTCTGCCACTTTTCTACAGACTGTAATTTGAAGAAAGCCTTAAATACTTAGAAACCTTGGAATATTAAATAATGGATTTTTTTAAATGCAAAAAAATAGAGATTTGATAGTATATTACTTGTAAATCTTAGGAAACTTACTTAGAATATGGAAGCAAAAGTTTTCTTTTAAATTAATATATTTTGCCTATGCTGAACAATGCAGATCTTACTGAAAATATTTGTAAAAGTTCTTCTCGCTTCAATATTAAACTTTTCAGATTGTCTATTAAAAGAAAGAATTTAAATCTCATTACAATTTTTTAACTTCTGCCATTTTTGTGTTTTTGCTTATGCTGTTTCTTGTGCCTTAATAGCTTTCCATCTTCTCCCCTCCTCAAAATCCCCACCAGATTTCCAACTGCAATCCTATTCATCCTTCAATATCCAGATTAAATTCAGCCTCCTCCATTTTTGGTGTATCCTTTTCCTGATTGCCTCTCGCCTTATCCCCTGCCAAAAGAAATCCCTCCCTCCTTTCAAATTTCATAATTCTTTGTTTTATCTCTTTTTTTCCATACTCTACTTCATGTTATCTTTTTGTCTTGCTATTCCCAATGAGATTGTAAACTCTTTGAGGGCAGAAAACATGTTTTATTCATCCTTTTGTCCTCCTTTCTGTCATAGTATCTGATGCAGATGTTTCTTTTAAGCACTTAGGCACACAGTAAATTTTGTTTGAGTGCTAATTACTCCCTCATTTCTATTTTAACTTAATGTATTTGAACATTTGTAGCTAAAAGAACAGGCTGCTGATTCTATTCTAGTGTTAGAGGCAGCATTGAAACTAAACAAGGATCTTTATGTCCATACAATGAGAACACTGGATTTATTGGCTATGGAACCAGGTATGGTAAATGGAGAAACTGAGAGTTTATCAGCTGGATTAATAATAAAAACTGAGGAGATGCAATGCCAGGTACTTATTTAAATTATTTGTTGTTATTGTATTTATAAATATAGAAATAAGCTCAGCTTTGTACTTTAATTTAAATTTTTTCCTGTTGTTTTCTTGACTACTTGAGTTTTTGTTTGAACAAGGATATATTCAATTTTTTTTGTTTGAAGAATTTGGCTCTTAAGTTTTATGACACTTTACTATTAACTTTCCGCGAAAGGTTGATTTTTTCCTTTGAATTTATTCCTTCTGATATCTTTTCCTGTGTTTTTTTTTATAGTGAATAATAGATAAGTAATATTTTAAAGTTAGATGACTTGATGGACATTAAGCTGGTGGTACTAAAAGCCCAAAACAAATTCCTAGCTTTTTAAGGAGTATAAGGCTATCTTCCTCAAACCCTGGGTCTTTATAGCCTTGATTACCATGAATTTAGTGCTTGATATTGTTTATTTTGATTGATTAATATAAATTAATTAAACTTACATTGATAAGTTTACATTTGTGTCTTAATTTGCTGACTAACTTGTAAATTGCATGAGGGCAGAAATAAGCTGTTTTTGCATCTGTTCAATAATTTTTTTAAAATTTTATTACCTGTGAAAAAAATCAGAGCTGCTGAACTTGGCTTTATTTTTGGCAGCCTTGTTATTAGTTGCATGGGATTGGTTTCTTTAATTTTTTGTCAGTCAGTAAACATTATTTAAGTGCGTACTATGTGCCAGGCACTGTGCTAAGTGCTAAGGATACAAAAAGAGGCAAAAGACAGTCCCTGACCTTAGTTAACAATCTAATGGGGAAGAAATCTGCTTCCAAATACCGAGGAAGGGGAAGATGATGCTAGATCTGGATAGCGACAAGGTTACTGAGGGTCAAAGTGATTATATTGCCTCAGATAGTAAAAGCCTTTCCATTATTTCTTTCAAACTTTGAGGGAAGAAAGTCAATCAGAGAATTAAAAGATGGCTCTCTGATGTTTGGTAGCATCTGAAATCAGTATAGTGGGAAGACAGTCTTATTATTTGACTTGGCTATAGAGTATTTTAAAGTGCTATAGATACTTATGATGCTCAATTTAAGAATAATAGCTCATATATATGCATGTACTTTATGCTTAAAAGTGACCTTTTTTTTCCCCCAAAAAAGAAAATTATCAAAGTAATGTAGAAATAGGTAGCATGATTTGTTGAGGAAAAAACCCCACTAGACTGGGATTTAAGAGACCTGAGTTCTAGACCTGGTTTTACAAATTATATGTAAATAGATAACTTTTCTTTCCCTATTTGTAAAATGGAGATAATAAGACAATAAGTAGAACTTGTTTTGGAAAGTGTGAGTGGACTCTGGACAACATTTTTAGGAAAAATGTTATTGGCCAAATGGTTTGAGTAAATTTTGCACCTCTCCTAGCAAAGTATTCTGTAAATAGTAAGTGCTTAATAAATGTTAGTTGAATTAAATTTATAACTGTTATTTTAAAGCTTTTTTTGTTTTTTAGGCAATTGGGGTTAAGTGACTTGCCCAGGGTCACACAGCTAGTCAGTGTCAAGTGTTCGGTCTGAGGTCAGATTTGAACTCAGGTCCTCCTGACTTCAGGGCCTGTGCTCTAGCCACTATGCCACCTAGCTTCCCCTTAAAGCATTTTTTAATTATTTTACATGGTATGGTGTGGTAGATAGAGTACTGGACTTAGTCAGAAACCTAATTTCAAATCCTGCTTTTGTCAGTCAGTAAGCATTCATTAAGCAAGTCCTATATGTAGAGCAGCGTGCTAAGTACTGGTGGGGATACAAAGAATGGCAAAAGATAGTCTCATTCTAATGAGGGAGACAACCAGCAAACAGATGTGTACACACAAGCTATACAGGATAAATAGTATATAATTCACAGAAGGAAGACACTAGAATTAAGAGAGATTAGGAAAGGCTTCCTCTAGAAGCTGGGATTTTAGCTGGACTTGAAGCCAGGGAAGCGGGGAAGGAGGGTGTTGCAGGCATGTGGGACAGCCAGCCAGAGAAAATGCTTGGAATGGAGTCTGAGAAACAACAAGGAAGCCAGTGCTGCTGGATTGGGGGGGGGGTGGAGCAGAGGGAAATAAAGTGAAGGTTGGAGGGTTGGGTTATGTAGAGCTTTGAATGCCAAACCCAGGATTTTGAATTTGATCCTGGGAGTGATAGAGAGCTTCTGGATTTTATTGAATATTGAGATGACATGGTCAAGACTTGCACTTTAGGGAAATCACTTAAGTGGCTGAATGGAGGCTACACTAGAGTAAGGAGAGACTTGTGGCAGTGAGACCTACCCCCAGGCTATTATAATAATGTAGGTGTGAGGTGCTGAGGTCTTGAACCAGGATCATGGCAGTAACAAAGGAGAGAAGGGGGCTATATTTGGAGATGTTTCCAAGTCAAAATTGATGGGCCTTGGTAACAGATTGTATATGGATCATATGTGGGGGGTGGAGTCAGAGGGAATTACAAGTTTGAGGATGACATAGTTTGGGAGCCTCAGAAACATGAGGATGACGATGCCCTAGATCAGCGCTTCTTAAACTGTGGGTGGGTCTTTCCCCCATATGGTCACTGAAAGGGTCATGAGGAGGAAAAGTTTAAGAAGCCCTGCCCTAGATAGTGATAGGGAAGTTGGGAATGGGGGAAGGTTGGCTGAAAGATAATGAGTTCAGTTTTGGACTTGATGAATTTAAGATGTGTACTGGGAATCGAGTTAGAGATGTCTGAAAGGCAGTTGGAGATGCAAGATTGGACTTCAGCAGAGAGTTTTAGGTGAAATGGGTAGATTTGAGAATTGTCAGCATAGAGAAAGTAATTTAATCCATGGGAGCTGGTGAGATCTTCAAGTGAAGTAGTGAGGGAGAAAAGAAGAGGACCCAGTATGGAACCCCCAGGGATACCTACAGTTAGAGGGCAGGATGTGTAGAGGAAAATCCAGCAGAGGAAACCAAAGAAGGTAGAAGGAGAACCTGGAGAGAGCCAGGTTTTGGGACCAGGGACAGATCATTTAACCTTCTGAGCCTCAGGCAGCCCTTTAAGATGCAAGTAGATAGGAGTTCCCATACTGATGAACTTTAAAGTATTTTACTTTAACCACTAATTGCTTATGAAATTAATTTATGCTCTTTATGTATATAATTTGAAGAAACAAAAGTTTTTTACTGATATTGCTTGAAAAATGAGTATTATTAAACATATTCCATATCTCAGGTGTGTTATGATTTGGGTGCAGTTTACTTCCAACAAGGTTCTACAAATTCAGCTGTCTATGAAAATGCAAGAGAAAAATTTTTCAGGACCAAAGAATTGATTTCAAAGGTAAACATGCTAGCCAGATTTGGAGGGTTAGGTGGGTGAGTGTGGGAGGTACATCATTTATATTCAAGCCAGTATGGTATTTTTCATAATCTGTAGTCTTGAATTATATTGCAGACATGCAAAATTAAATTTTAATCATTTTTTTAACTCATCAACCAGGATTTTGAATCTTATGTGTTGACATTTGAGTTTATTGGATGTATAAATAACAACTTGTATCTATTCATTCCTTTGAACCTTAACATTTCACATTTACCTAGAGAATCATTTAAATTTCTAATCTGCCTAGTATTTGACTTAGCTGTCGGAATACTTGAATTTTTTTCAAAATGCGTTGTTCTGTTTATAATAATTATTGGTAGATCTTTCTTTGCTTTCCTACTTAGAGCATTCCCCCAAGAAAAGTCTTTTGTGCCCTTTCTTGTTTTTGAATCTCTGGCTAATTATTCACTCAAGCTTTGATTTTTAATGTTCTCCAGTTTCTTGATTTGTTCTTTAGAATGCTCATTTGGTGTTAACTAAACTGTCAAACCTTCTTGGAAGGTAGAATTTATATCTGTAGACTGAAAGTTGAAAGCCCCAAGAATAGTTTTTGTTATTTATATTTCTATGATAATTATTTTTTCATTATTGCCAATTGTTCTGTTAAAATTCAGTATCTAGGATTTGTTTTGTTTTTGTTTGGCATGATAAATTATTGATGGCTAACTGAAAATGCCTTCTTATTTTACAGATAGGCTCATTATCTCTTCATTGCTCCATAGATGAGAAACGGTTAGCTGGCTATTGTCAGGCTTGTGATGTTCTTGCTCCTTCTGATAACACATCACAGCAGTCAACTTCATATAGTCAAATCCATATCTGTATGAGATCAGGCAACTATCAGGTAAGATGTGGTAGGATTATGTTAGATTTGGAGAAGAAAGTTGACTTGATTATTTCTTGAAGCTAATCTTTGTCAAAAGATTGGTTTCTGTAACCTGCATTTTAAGGAAATAATTGAAAAAGTGGAGAGTTGGCATCATGGTCCAAATAGAGGTCACCATCTTAAAATGAGATCTTTTTGAAAGGAAAAAAGTAGAAGTATGCATTGAAAATAATACCAATTGTAGAGCTTGCCCACCAGATATGGAGGGGGTGAGTGTGGGAGGATGTATGATTTATATTTAAGCAGGTCTGAAATTTTTCATAATTTGTATTCTTGCATTTTATAATTTCATACTGGAATATATCATGTTAGATGACAGTATATGTTGTCAAAGTGGGATATTACAGCTCACTTCTGTTAACCATTGTAAATACTTAGAAAAGGGAGAAAAGCAGCCCTACTAAACGTTGTACTGCTGATGTGCTATTCTGCTTGGTCCCACCTAGCGTTTTACTAAATTGGCTATTGTTTTACTCCTTTCCTCTCCCAAAAGTCTCAACTCAGTCTTTTTGACATTTTTTTCCTTAGATTGGATTTTATAAAGAAAGCCACCGGCACAATAAAATTTGTGATGTTTCTGCCTTTACTAAAAAGCATTTTCCTGTAAATAAAGGATGCTTGTATATTTTTGAGCCCAGGATAGGAATCAGAAAACTGTAATATTATATAGCATTTCTCAAACCAAATGATATACTTACTGTGTTGTTATTTTCATGCCCCCGAATGAGACTTTAAAATATCCTTTTTTCGTCCTTCCTGCTCTACTAATTTTTTTTCTTTTTCTTTTTTTTTGTGAGGCATTTGGGGTTAAGTGACTTGCACAGAGTCACGCAGCTAGTTAAGTGACAAGTGTCTGAGGCCAGATTTGAACTCAGGTTCTCCTCTTAGGCCAGAGCTCTGGCTACTGTGCCACCTAACTGCCCCTACTCATTTTTTTTTTTAATTAGGCATATGGGATTAAGTGACTTGCCCAGGTTCACACCACCTTTGGTCTGAGGCCGGATTTGAACTCAGGTCCTCCTGACTTCAGGGCCGGTGCTCTATCCACTGTACTACCTAGCTGCTGGCTCCCCCCCCCCCAATTCATTTTCTAAAAGGAGAATCGTATTCTGTTTTTGATCAGTTAGAGGTACAAATGATTATAAATACAGTTAAGTAGATTTTTAGCTACTCATCTGCTGAGGTGTTTTTTTCTGTTTTTTTTTTTTGATATGTTACTTCAAATGCTAGAAAAGAATGTAAATGCAAGTGTGATAGAAAAAAAAACAATTTTCTCTAAGTGTATAGCATTAAGAACTTAATGTGGTTCAACAGATTTTCTTATCTATAACTTCCTCTATTTCTGTTGAGAGCCACCATTCTTCCCCTCTCCCAGGTTCGCATTCTTGAAGTCATCTTCGATATCTCTTCTGCTCTTCTCATGTGATCAGTCACTGAATTTTAGTGTTATAAGGAATATCAGCGACCAGTTAATCCAACCCATGCCCCAAGAAGCATCTTTGTTACTATATAACCAATGAGTGGTTGTACAGTGTCTGCTTGAATATTTCCATTGAAGGAGGAACTGGATGAAACCACCTCTACAATATCTCTTCCATCATTCACTTAGATGGCCAGTATCGTAGTGCAGACCCCTGTTACCTATTGTCTCGAATATATCATACCTATCCTAATTCAGTTGCCTGTTGCTATTCTGTCACCTCTCCAATCTATTTTTCCACATAGCTGCCAAAATGTTCTTTGTAAAACATAGGTCTGCCCCTCTATCGCTTGCATTGACTATCCCTTGTTCTTGAAAAGTGAAATGTATTCTCTTGTTATCTCAGCTTCTTATAATTCTTTTTTGTTGTTGTTGTTAGTAAATTTCTTCTATTTATTTGTTCTTGTTTTTCAACATTCACTTCCATAAGATTTTGAGTTCTAAATTTTCTCCCCCTCTCCCTTTCTCAAGACAACAGCCTCTTTCTTTCAAAGCCTAGCTGAAGTGTCATCTTGTCTATCAAAGCCTTTCCTGGTACTCCTGAAGTATTAGTACTAGTCTTTCCTCCCACCCCAAGTGTACTTTGTATATATTAATATACATATTGTTTACCCTTAAACTTCTTGAGGACAGGGCCTGTTTAATTTTATCTTTGTATCTCCACAGTAGGTGCTTACTCTATTGCCTTTAGCAATCAAAATCAAACTCCTCCACTTACCATTTTGAAATCTTTCATAATCTTGCTTACAGCTATCTTTTTAGACTTATCACTTATTCATATACTCTGTTCAAAAATATTTATTAAAGATACACAGAGACAAAAATCAAACAACTTTTGCTGTTTAGGAATTCCATATTTTTCTGAGGGAATATAACATTTGTGTAGGCAGTTAACACAAATTATTTACAAAGTAATTTTAGGAGCGCAAGAGTACTAATAAGTGGGGAGGTTGGGGAAGTTAGGAAAGGCCTTGCTGTGTGGCACCTGAGCTGTGTTTCTTTTTTTTTTACATCCAAACTGATCTGCTTGATGTTCCTCCAAACCCAATATTCTGTTTCCCATTTCTTTGCCTTTTGCACAGACTGTTTTATCTCCTAATACCTTTTTGTTTTGTTTTGTTTTTTAGTGAGGCATTTGGGATTAAGTGACTTGCCCAGGGTCACACAGCTCGCAAGTGTTATATGTCTGAGGCCAATTTGAACTCAGGTCCTCCTGACTCCAGAGCTGGTGCTCTATCCACTGTGCCACCTAGCTGCCCCTCCTAATAACCTTTTTTCACCCCCATCTCTAAATTCTTTTAGGATTCTCATGTTCTGTTTCCTACAAGAAGCATTTCCTGATCCCAAGTTTTTAATATTCTTTCCCTCCTTAAATTATCTTGTATTCTAGGTACTTAATGTTTTAAAATTAAATTTCTCATTTATAGTCTAGATCTGGCTTTCATTTTAATTTTGTATTGTCCATGGCATATTGTGAACAGTTGATTGCTGGCCTGAGAATCTGAATACCTGGGTTATAGTCCTGGTTGTTGTGACCTTGAGTAATTATCCTGAGCTTCATCTGTAAAATGTGTGGAAGAGTTAGATTAGAAAATCCCTAACAAACTCTTTTCTGAACTTCAAAGATAATTTCATGAGGAACTACCAGAAGGTGGTATTCTCATTTGTGCTCATAGTTGCTGAAACTCAATGGGATTTAAAATTTTTTAGTAGAATTATTTTTTGAGGTTATGAGTAAACTTAACTTCATGAAAGTTTACGTATATGTCTCTTTAATGTATATTACTCAGTCTCCTGATCTATTTCCTTCTGTCTCTCTGTCTAATCCCTCATGTTTTCCTCTTCCCTCTAGCCCAGTCAGTCTTCTTTGATTGGCTATAATATACAACTGAAATATGTTTTAAATTATTTGTTGTATTTATTGAACATAGTTTGTTCTCCATTCTTAATTTGATAATGGAAAGAATCTCAAGTGACCTTCCCAAAATCACTTGCATTGCTTATACTTACATGGCCTTATTTTTCTTCAGGATTTTGCTGGTGATCTTTAGGGTAGGGTGGAGTGAGGGCAGGGTTTCAGTTTTAAATCTTAAGAATAAGAAGTTTTAGCAGCTGGGTATCGTTGTTCACCTTGTTTTTGGATAACAATGTGTACATTTTTTAAAAAGAAATTATTTCAGTAGAGAAATTTTTTTGTGGATTTTGAAATTGATGCAATGCTATGAATCTGTTCTAGGAGGTGATAAATATATTCCTTGAAGATAATCTAACGCTGAGTTTGCCTGTTCAGTTCAGGCAGTCAGTGCTAAGAGAACTTTACCAGAAAGCTCAGCAAGGGTAAGTTTTTAACTCAAAGGATTCAACTTGTATTTAAACTTGGATAAAAGCAGGAGGATATTTTCAGCTATAGAAAAAAAAACAGCTCAGATTTCATTATATTATGCAGAGTATTGTTGGTATGTCCTTGTTTGGTGAACAAGTATTTCATCTTTTTTAGCCTCAATTTCCTAATCTGTAAAATGGCAGCAATACTTTTAGTATCTGCCTCACAGAGTTGGTGTTTGGATCAGATGGAATTTTGTATTTCAAGTATGGTGTGAATGTCATTTGTTTCTGTTATTGTGAAACTTCCTGTAACAGGGCCCAGGTTTGCTATGAGATGGACAAAGGTGCATTATCTGTCTGGCTTTTTGCATCTAGTATGAACATGGCATATTTGTGACACTTCCCTTCTTCATCTCTTTGCTGTTGACTGAGGGAAAGCTGGCATTCACATGAGACTTTCATAAGATCCTTGGAAAAAACAAACTCAGTTGCTTGGGCTTATCAGTTCCTCTGCCAGAGTATTTTGCTTGCATTTCCTTTTGGCTCTAATTGCCACAGTCAAGAGTTCAGGCTCTTACCTCCTTTTTCTTCAACTTCTCTAGACTCCTAACTGTCGTCTCTGCCTCTGGTGTCTCCCTCCTTATTTTTCCTTCAAAAACAGTCTTTTTGTCTCAGGCTTCTCTGCCAGGTACCAGTTTTTGAAGCAGGACAAGCTTTCTAAAAAGGAAGTGAGATCAGAGGGCTGCAAACACAACTTCAGGCAAAGCAGGTCCAGTAGTAAGAGCATTAGGAACTCTTCTAAAACTGCCCCCAGTCGTTAACTTGTTGTTTTCCATAGAGTCAGACTGTTGAATGCAGTGCAAGACCTTATGTTGGTAATTACTAGTAGCCTGCTTGGTTTAGTAGCACAGGTTTGGAGTTCATCCTTCTCCTTTCTGATTTGTGATTTTTGTAATTCATTCTAAATCATGGTGGGGAAGGGACTCTGCCTGACCAGCTGCCACCAACAAGCAGAGGCACAACAGTTGTTAGAGTGGCAGGTTCCCCCGCACCACCATTCTTGCTTCCAGCCCAATCCTCAGAGCTATTATCCAAGGTCCAGGCAGGCAAGTCAGCCTAACTCACTCAGCTCAACACCCTAAGGAGGAGAGAGAGGAGGCAGCAAGTGCAACCACCACCACAGCTTTGACCACCATCTGCCCTCAGACGCTGATAGAGACAGCCCGGGACCCTGAACCCAAGAGCTTGGGGAATAGCATTTCTTCTAGTCCAGTGTCCTTAGCCATCATCCTGGGAAGTAACTCCTGCTTCTTCAGGGGTTGCAGCAACAGTTACTGAAGGACCAGAATGGAAAGTTCTTGCCACTGAAGTCTTTGGCACTTTGCACCAATATAGTTCAGCATCAGAAACTGATAGGATTTTATCTGTGGAAATGACGTTAAAGAAGATGCATCTGTTTTGTGGCTGTACCTAAGGATCATGGGACTTTTTCATCTGACTTGCATCTGAAACCCTCCATATGTGTTCTCTCTCTCCCATGAGAAGGAGAACTTCTTAAGAGACTGACTTGCTTTTCTGTTTGAATCTCTGACACTTAGCACAGTGCTTTGCACATAGTAAGCATTTAATAAATGCCTTGTTTATTCATTCCCTGGAATTTTCTTCAGTAATGCTGAGAGCCCTACGACTTTATCCTCTGTGTATGTGGGTTATTGATAGTCATAGGTATGGGATCTCAATCCCTCCATTGGTTAAGGAAGTAAATTACCCAGCCTTCTTGGCACAGAGGGAACAAACCTGTTTTTGTTCCCAGGCTTCCAGACTTGGTTTTCACACTAATTAGATTGGGCTAAGACTTTCCCTGTTGTTAACATAAAGAACAGTAAAGATCTCAGAAAGGACCCTGTGATAGCTGTTTTAGAATAAATGAGAAACATTTGTTTAGTTTTTACAATCATAATTGTGTAGTTTTGCAGAGTTTTCATTTTGTGTTCTGCAGAAATGAAGCTTTAGATGAAATCTATTTCAAAGTTTCTGCCTGTAATACAGTACGTGATATACTTGAGGGTAGAACAATTAGTGTTCAGTTTAACCAGCTATTTCTTCGACCTAACAAAGAGAAAATAGACTTCCTTCTTGAGGTAAGATATTTTTTATGTTGAATTGTACTTTTAAACTTTTTTTAAGAGTCCAGAGTTTCCAATTCTATAATTTAAAACTTATGTCCAGCTTTTAAAAGTTTGGCAGTAAGTTTTCTCATGTTTTGTTCATTTGTATAATTATTTTATATTGCTGCCAGATAGTGTTTAGGTCACATTATTTTCTCCAGATTATTCCTAGGACTATGTAAAAGCATATGTACCTATATGAATCATGGTAATTTCTTTTTTATTTTCATAGAAAACTGTGGGGGCAGCTAGGTGGCGCAGTGGATAGAGCACCAGCCCTGGATTCAGGAGGACCTGAGTTCAAATCCGGCCTCAGACACATAACACTTACTAGCTGTGTGACCCTGGGCAAGTCACTTAACCCCCATGGCCCAACCAAAAAAAAACAACATAGAAAACTGTGGTACATAGTAACTAATCTTATCATTGACATCTAATGCTTTTCAAAGAAACTTAAAATTTGTATATGTATACTATTATCTTAATATCTAAAGAAGTGTGCAATAAAATGTTTAAACATTAGTTTATGGTTCCTACTTTAAAATACTGAGATATTTGATGCTAATTTTAGAGTCATCTTGAAAATTAGAAAATTATCGTTTAGAACTCTTAATGTCTCACATGGGGAGAAAAAGGGTTTTTTTGGGGGAGGGAGAGGTATTCGTTGTTCTAAGACAGCAGCATAATCCTGAGTTATGATTGCTAAAGACCAATAACAGGCATTTTGTTAAAGCTTTTGCTGTATGCCAGGCACTATGGGGAAATAGAAGAATATACAAAATGAAGGGGAAAGGAAGGGAATAAGCTTTTGTCAAGTGACTGTTATGTGTCCAGGCACAACGCTAAGCACTTATAAAAATATTATCTTATTTGATGTAAAATTATGCCAAATACATGAGATACCAGTTGGTTAACACATTCGTTTCCTGATTAGGAAATCTACATGGGAAAATAAACCAAGATCATATAGATGTTTGGTTAATAGTTTGAAAGCAAAACAAATTGGATATATTTTAATAGATATTTTTCATTAAACTCTGATAACTTGTTTGTTGTCACTCTTCACCACTAAATGGATATTCCTGTCTAAGAGAACTGTTTATGTTACTTGGTCAGTTCTGCAAGTAACATGTATTCTGATCTGGCAGTAGCTGTGGGTGTAGAGAAGTAATTAATGCTATATCCTGAAACAGTGAGATAACTGTTTCTGAACAAATTGTTTTCTTCATGTAAATGCTTCCTTTTTTAAAAAATTAATTAATTTTGTTTTAAAAATTGGATTATGAAGCTTTTGTGTTTATTACTTCTTCACTTATATAACTTGCCTACACTGCAGCTCTCTGTAGGGTAGTAGTTGGGAAACAAGTGCCTTTTGACATTATATAGTTAGCCCTTCCACATCACAACTTTCCCCATCATGGTTTTGATATCACAGGTTGGCATAAGGAATTAAATAGGAATTTTTTAGGAGTTCTGTGGAAGCCACAGATACATGACAGCCTGCAGACAATGCAGAAAAAGTTTAGAAACTCAAAAATATATAAAATGTGTTTAGTATTATAGTATCAACATATTTTATCTTTTAATACCATATATATACCAAAATTTTACAATAAGGTACTGTAAACACCCCATAAAAGAAAAAGAAAAAATTCAGACTTCTCTGGTACGAAAGGAGGACCAAAAAATTTTATACAGATTATCAATATCAAGGGGGCACCAAGTCCATAACCCCCATGATGTGGAAGGGATAACTGTACAGTGTCTTTGTTTCAACTGTAGTCATTCAAATCCCTAGGTATGTTCAAAGTCAATAAACTTGGAACAAACTTCAGATACTTTGAAAGGAAACATGGCTGCTTTTCTAAAGTAAGTGCTTGATTTTATAATTTTTTGACTTTCAGTATAGTAAGCACTGTATAAATTCTTGTTAAATTGAATTTCTTTACTTAGTATTTTCAAAAGAGTAGGTATACATTAGATTGTCCTTATTTTTTGAAAAAACATTTTTATCGACTTTTTTTGTTCTGACATTACTTAAATATTACCCTATATCCTTCTTCCCCCATTCCAGAGAGCCATCCCTATACAGAATTCTTTTCTAAAAAAGAAAAGAGGGGTGATGCAGTGGATAGAGCACTAGCCCTGGAGTAAGGACAACCTGAGTTCAAATTCGGACTCAGATACATAACTGTGTGACTCTGGGCAAGTCACTTAACCCCAATTTCCTCACCAAAATAAAAAAAAAGGAAGAAGAGAAAAACCTTCAGGAAAGCTGATCAATATGTTGAAAAATCTGACATCATATGCAATATTCCACACCTCTATTCTTCCCCATCTTTGCAATGAAATGGGGGGAGGTTTCTATCTCTGTTTTTTGGGTCTGAGCTTATTCTTTATAATTTAGCAACATTTATTCTCAATAATTTTGTGGTTTTTCATTTACATTGTGGTAGCCATTGTGAGTATTGTTTTCTTGGCTCTGCTTATTTCACTTTGCATCAGTTCAGGTAAGTCTTTGCAGCCTTCTCTGTATTAATCAGTCATCATTTCTTATAGCATAGATTCCATTCTTTCATGTACCACATTTTTTTAGTCATCATAAGCTGTTTTGTAACTTATGTATTTATGTTTTATTTTTGATAACTTTATAATTTGTAATATTACCTGGATATGTTTTTCATTAGTATTTTATTTCCTGATTAATCTGTGAAATTTTCTCTTGCCTTTGCTTTTGCCTACTACATTTGCGTTGTCACCAGTCTAACAACCAAGTACAGTACTAGGAATCTGTGCACCAATGCAAAACTGTTGGTTTTTTATCGCATAGCATTTATGTTGTGCAATTTAAATTGAAACAAAATAGAAGACTGCCTCAGTAACGACAGAGTTCTCAAGTCACAGAATTGGCAACAAAATGTTTTGACAAATTTAAATTGTTCACATCTTTATTTCACAATATTTCTTGCTAATCTAGAAATCTCTGCTTGGGATTGGACGATCTTCAGTTTGTCTTTATGATTTCTTCTCATGAACTCTTCATTACATTGTTGAAAGATGATGAACAGAAGCTACTTATAGAACAGATGAGGAAAAGATCACCTAGAGTAAATCTGTGCACCAAACCTGTAACTTCATTTTATGATATTCCAGGTCAGCTTTATAACCTTGCTGCTAAAAATTTTTCAAGGTTTTCTTTTCCCCTTCACAATTTAATTTTACATTGTAAAATATTTCGTTTTATTTATACAAACCATTGTGCATGAAAATTTGTAGGGTGAATGGCCTTGTTGCTTTAATGCTCCCATTTACTGAATAAAGAGACTGGTAGGACGAATTAAAGCAAGAATGCTGGATTTCTCTCTGCCTCTTTAAGGGTTTTTACTCTTAGGTCTCCCCAGTGACCTCTTCTCCATTTAGCCTATGTCTCTTGGCAGTGTTTGTTACCTTGCCTTCAGCTATTATCTTTTAGGCAAATGATTCCCAAATCTGTATCTCCTTTCTTCTGAACTCTAGACATATCTTCTAAAGACACCTACACCTGGATGCTCTGCAGAAGTCATTTAGTCTAACCTAGGAGTTGGCAGACTCCTGCCCAGTTTCGCACCCCATGAGCTGAGAATGGGTTTTACATTTTTAAATAAAGTTTTACTGTATTTTAAAATGTGGGGGAAAAAACTGTTTTAGTTCTCTAGCTGTACTATGCTGATCCCTCTTCTAACCCCTTCATTTTATAGATAAGTCAACAAACAAAGACACAGGGATCTGGTATTCTCTATACCAGCAGTTCTCAAAGTGTGGTCTGTGGACCCCTTGGGATCTCTGAGATCCTTTAAAGGGGTCCATAGACTCAAAACTATTTTCACAGTCAAAAATATTTTCATAATTCATCTCTAGTATATTTTAAGTAACTTAGTGGGATGTTACCTATTAAAATATTCTTCCCTTTTCTAATTACATATCTTTTTGAGACCAGATTTTTCATATACTTCAACCAAAACAATGTATCACAACAAATTGAGTGTAGAAACATATATGAGAATCTGGTTGTCTTCTTTTAAGCCAGACATTTAAGAGATTTTTTTTTAAAAAATTATTTGTTACATGTAATGGGTTTATTTTTAAGTTAATTGATATTTTTAAAATTTATCCACTTTAATTTCTAATATGGTAAATATCAGCAGATGTAACCCACATAAACAAAAACTGTTCAGTGTGCTCAGTCATTTTTAGGATTATAAAGTGGTCCTGAGAGCACGAAGTTTGAGAACCACTGCTCTATACCTTTCTATGTAACTAGAAATGTCTGCTCCATAATATTGGTTACAAAAGCTTACCTTCTCAGACTTTTATCAGTGATGATCTCAAAACACATCTAGATTCTTATAAAAGTTTTGTAGAGATGGAAAAGCAGGCATATGGATTAGTACTTACTAGATTAGTAATTACTGATATTCTCTTAATCTTTTTTTTTTAATAATAAAGTCTAAAGATTTTCTCCTAACTTTTGGTATCCTCCCCTCCTTTGTATATGCACATTTAAGACTATAATGTGACAGACGTAATGTGATGACTCCTCTGTAATTTGTGATGAAGAGAATTAGTTGTAAAAATTCTCTGTCCAGTTTCATCTTTAAATGTCTTCAAGGGGACTTTGTTTAGTTGGGTCTCTTATGTAACTTTATGTAAAGTTTTGCCCTTCTCACCATTTTATGAAAAAATACCAGTTGTATTCTGCCATCCCTACCTATAAGATGGGTATATTCCACATCAGCTGTTATCTTTTTCTGCTGTTCCTCTTTGCCTAGCCAGATCAGTGATTCCATGTTCTTTTGGTCTCACAGTGGTGATTGGTTTGCATTGGGTGAACTCCTTTGGGAAATGCTGATAATCAAGATAGATTCTTGTTTAGGTAGGTCAGTAGAGTTGCCTCAGTTGTGTTCAGTATATTCGCATTTTTGTTCTACTTTAATATTCATTTTGATCTTGCTGTGACAGGTTTGATTATATAGAGAAACTTGATTTGGCGATAACGTTCACATTAATAATCATCTTCCTCTCTTTTGCCCACTTTGCATTGTAGTCACCAAGTATTGAAGTTTATATTGATTTGATTTGGATAATTCTATTAAATTCTTGATAGAATTTCTCTACCTCGTTCTCTGCAACTGATGGTGATTCGTAAGGTGCTGTTATTTTTATACTTATCACACGTGCTGCAATTTGAGATGACTGCATGTTCCGTGAAATGATCCAAACACCTTTGGATGTGTGATAGAACCAAACCCACCAGCTCCTTTATTTACCTCTCTTATGGAGAACCTATGAGCCTACCTTTCATTTAACTGCACCTTCTATTGGTCCTTGGTTCCATTAGAATGTCAAGATTAATATGATTCAGTTCTTCAGGAAGTATGTATGTCTCACTTGTTGGTCATTAGAAAAGTATCATACATTTACAATGCTAACACCTAAGTTAATGTTGGCAGACACTAAAAAATAAAATAAATAAAATAAAATAAAATGGACTTTTAGCATCATCTGATCCCTTTTATGTCATTCTGCTTCCATCACTGCAAAAGCATGTTATATATTTTTTGTTGTTACTAGGGTTGTTACGACCAAAAAATTTGTCTACAAGGGGCCAGCCTGCTGGTGATCCATCTCTCTACACTTACCTAAGCTGGTCCTCAAAAAGTAGTTTTTTTACTGGGAACGTACTTTAAAGACTTAAACCTTTCTGGTATGGTAGAACATGATAGGCCTTATACTCTGTTGGGATACTCTTCAAAAACCCATTGTCCATGCCACAAGAGGCACTGAAGTGTGGACCTGTACTTGCCCTGGAATGTAATTTTATCTGGTAATATCCTGTATGCTGCGTTCATTTGATGTTATTCATTTAATGACTTGGTTTGAATTGAATATTTTTAGTGCAGATGAAATCATTAATTATTTTGATGGTAAGATTAGATAGCACTTCTTATTCAAACTATAGAATTATTTTTTCCATATTGACATAGTTCAGAGATCAGGACCGTAAACAGAAATTTCTAGGTACAAGACATTTTAATTGTATAAATAAGGTTTATGTATCTGTTAAGGCAAAATTCAACCTAATATGGAGGTACTATTCTTCGTTACTCCCTAATTTCCAAATGTCATCCTTGTCATATTTAGTAAGATATGTTCTTAGAATGAGATGTTGCATGGCCTACTAGATAGGGCCAGGTAGAGTCAGTATGATCTGTGTTCAAGTACTGCATCTGACCATCACTGTGACCCTAAGAGGACTCTTAACTTCTCCGTGTTGCAGGCCATTTTGTGATGTATACTTTTTTTTTTTTTGCTTTTTGGTGAGGCAGTAGGGGTTAAGTGACTTGCCCAGGGTCACACAGGTAGTAAGTGTCAAATGTCTGAGGCTGCAGGCCATTTTGTGAGACGGCAGTCTGTATTTCTACAGGAAATTCCTCATTGGGAGCTCCCTTTGCCAAATAAAATCACAGGTCCATTTGGGAAAAAAAAACAAAACAACACTAAACTGACAAAATGTGCTTCTTAAGTGATTAGTCAACTATAAGTCATCTGTTCCTTTAGCTTCAGCAAGTGTCAACATTGGACAGTTGGAGCATCAGCTTATATTATCAGTGGATCCTTGGAGAATTCGCCAGATTTTAATAGAATTACATGGCATGACTTCAGAACGCCAGTTTTGGACGGTATCTAGTAAGGTAAGGAATTTACCAATACTCTTTAAGAATGGGTAAGAAAGTACTATTTTGGGGCAGCTAGGTGGCACAGTGGATAGAGCACCGGCCCTGGATTCAGGAGGGCCTGAGTTTAAATCTGGCATTAGACACATAACACTTACTAGCTGTGTGACCCTGGGCAAGTCACTTAACCCTACTGCCTAGCCAGAAAAAAAAAAGATTACAAGCAAGGTAAACTAGAGGTCCTAATGCAAGGAAGCACGTTTGACCTTCTAGGTATCACTGATACTTGATAGAATGGAACCCGTGACTGAACTATGGCTCTGAAAAAAATATACTGTTTTAATGATAAACTAGATGAATGTAGCTGAGTAGCATTATATGGTATTTAACAGATATATTCTCTGAAACGAATCTAGGAACCAGAGTGGGGGCAGTGTGGTGGAGAGCATATAGGAGAATATCAGTGGAGTGAGAAATAAGTGATATTGTCATCATCTATTCAAATCATCGGTCCTGTTTACTATATCCCCAGCAGGGATATCTTAGAATACTCTAAGATAGAAAAGACAGAAAGAAAAAATAAATGAGTTTTGGGGATCTCCTTTTAAAGCTTTTCTCATGTTCCCTTCATCTTGATAATCTAACCCACTTAACATTTAGAACTATTCAAAAGTGAGTTGAGTTTGGCAGCTAGGTGGTATAGCAGATAGAGCTCTGGCCTTGGAGTCAGGAGGACCTGAGTTCAAATGTGACCTCAGACACTTGACATTAGCTGTGTGACTTTGGGCAAGTCACTTAACTACAATTGCCTAGGCAAAAAAAAAAGTGAATTGAACTAACTTTGTGATAATAAATTATTCATCATTGGATGTTTTCAAGCAGTAGTTGAATGATCAATTGATCAATCACTTGTGGGGATATAGTAAGTAGGATTTATGATTTGAGAAGGTTAGAATCGATGAACTCCAGGATTACTTCTAATTCTAAATCTGTATCCCAACTCTTGGCTCATCATAATGGATGTTTTCATCTTGGTTAGAATTCAACTTTGATAAGCTGTTATTTCTCTTGAGGTTAAGAATTATCTTTTTACTAAGACATAGAAATTATGATTTTTGTTTATAATTTAATAGTGACTTTTTTTTTCTTCTAGTGGGAAGTGCCAGGTGTTTATAGTAGTGTCATTCTGGCAATTAAAGATGGTTTAACGAGAGATTTGGTTTACATTCTTATGGCAAAGGGCTTACACTGCAGTATTGTTAAGGTGAGTAAAGATTTGTGTTGATTATTTTATTGGTACAATGTGTCATTGATTTTTGTACTAAGACTAGGAGTCAGAAACTGACTTCTAGAGAAATATCATGTAAGTTTAAGTCTCCTAGCCTATTTGAGAGTCTGTGGCGCAGCAGACAGAGAGCCAGCCTTAGAATCAAATAGACTTGGTTTAAGACCTGTCTCTAGCACATAGTGCCTTTGTAGCACTGGACAAGTTACTTAATCTCTCAGTATTCCCTAAGACTTTACTTATCAAGGATTGTTTATACAAGTGAAATCACAGGTCCAGGCCCCTGTACCTCACTACCGTCTTCGCTCACACATTAATGTCTAAGTCATGCCATGTGCCCAATCTGTTTCTTACATTAACCTTTCTGTAATCCTGAGTAACTTGGTTCTTTCGGAGTCCTTTTCAACTCATTATCATAAATAATAAATTATTTTTAAAAGATTTTTTAAAAATTTATGCATAACTTAATGAATCAGTCAGATACTTTTGAGTATCTGTTATGTGTTTTGTTTGTTTGTTTGTTTTGGGCTAGACAATAGGGCCACACAGCTGGTAAGTGTTGTGTGTTGGAGCCTGGATCTGAACAGGACCAGTGCTCTATCCACTGCGTCACCTAGCTGCCCCTGAGTATGTGTTATGTTGAAGTAGTATGAATTGCATCCCTGTGAGATTCAAAGAATTATAAGGCATCAAGATCTTGCTCTTCTCTGTGGTGAGTCTGGGCACACAGACACACACAAAATGTTAATAATCCAAGGTAAGGTACATAGAAGTTAAGAAGAGGGACAGAATTCCTGTACTGAAATGGTTGATATCAGCTGTTCATTGTAAAACTAGGTGTGGAGCCTTTAAGAGTAGATATTGTTTGGACACGTGAAGAGGAAAAATGAAAACATGCCAGTTGTAGTGAGGATGTAATAGCAAAAGGTATTCTGGGAACATCAGAGAGACCTTTTGGGCCAAAGTTTAAGTGTTTTACTGAAAAATAGTGGAAGATACAGATTCATTGGGAGAAGACAATGGAAGAATTTCACCTTTATCTGGCAAACCACAGGAAACCACTTAAAGCATCTGAGTTAGGGCAAATTAGAGGGTGTATGTATATGTATAATTTTTTTATTTCTTTTTTTTTAATTGATTTATCAACAGTCACTTCCATAAGCTTTTGAATTCCCAGGTGACCCAGTAACTAACATGGCATAGTGTGTTTAGAATGATGCCATGAGAAAAAGTTGGCCCCTTGCATTTCTCATTTCTTCATATAGGTATATATATATTTGTGGATGTATATGTGTGTGTGTGGGGGGGCCCTTACATTTCTCTCTATATATATGTGTACTGATACATGTTCATATACTGCTTAACCATTCTAAGCAAAAGCATAATGATGGAAGTGTGTGTACAATTCTGACATTTAAATGTTTTTTAACAGGATTTTGTTCATGCTAAACAACTGTTTGCTGCTTGTCTGGAGTTGGTGACAGAATTCTCCCCAAAGCTCCGTCAAGTAATGCTAAATGAGATGCTGCTCTTGGACATTCACACACATGAAGCTGGACCAGGGCAATCAGGGGAGCGTCCCCCTTCTGACCTCATCAGCAGGGTCCGTGGATATCTGGAAATGAGGCTTCCTGGTATGAACGTTTTATAATTTGAAGGCTAAGGAAACCCTTCCAATTAAGGAAAAAAATGCTTATTCAGTACCTAGATAACTATAACTATTTATTTGCATAGTGATGGTGGTAGTGGCAAGTGGGAAGTTAATTATGATATACCAGCTATGAAAGTATTATTTCCTTCGTGAGAACACACATTGAATTGAATATATCTGGAAAAGTATATAAAGTGTATGAACAATCAAATATTTTCTTTAATACAGAGAGTAGAGTATAATTTCAGCCTCCTCTATCAAGAAATACATGGGGGCAGCTAGGTGGTACAGTGGATAGAGCACCGACCCTGGATTCAGGAGGACCTGAGTTCAAATCCAGCCTCAGACACATAACACTTACTAGCTGTGTGACCCTGGGCAAGTCACTTAACCCCATTGCCTAGCCAAAAAAGAAAAAAAGAAATACATGAATACTTGATTATTCAGGACTCATTCTATGATGTCTCACTATTATGCCTTTTCTGTGTTTAGATTGCCTTCTCTAACATCTCTAGCATCTCTCGAATCTCTTCATCTTCAAGACTCAGCCCAAATGAAGCTCTAAGTCTGTTTCTTTTTTCCTTCCACCCCCAACGATGAATAGAACTTTTATTATACCTCTTGTATGCTGTTTTTTCTAATAATTGACAAGCATTTATTAAGCACGGACTGTGTGCCAGATACTTGGGAAACATGCAAAGACATAAACAAAATACTCGTTTTCTTAAAGGTACTGTTTCCTTTTTTTGTGAGAAGGAAGAGAGGCACATGTACATACACATTTGTATAAGATTTTTACAAAATAAATATATGTAAATATATAGTAATTAAATATACAATATATGAATATACAGTTGTATCTCTTCAGCTAGATAATAAGTTCCTAAGCCTAGGAATCAAGATTGTTTGTTGTTCTTTTTTGCCTTTGATTTGGGGCTTCCGTATTTGTTCTTGTCTCCATAGGGCTCACCGTATTTTAATAAATGCCTGTTGATTGACTCTGTTGGCATTTCTCAAAAGTATTGAACAGGGTTAGGAATTTAAATGTTTGCATTGTTGCCAGTAGAGCTATATGCAGAAACATGATCCTGTCCTACAGTGATAAAACCTGAAGTTAAGTCTAACCCTGTATTTCATTGAATATTACAAAAGTCCTAAAGAACCTTTGTTTCCCCTTAAATTTAAAGCAGAAAGCAACCTTTTACTTCAATTTCATTGTTCTTTGAAGGCCAGGACTTTTTTTTTGTCTTTGGATTCCTAGCCCTCAACACATAGAAAGTATTTAATGAGTGTTTGTTGGTTGGTTGATTTACCTCTATACATTTAGCTGTGCAGTCTTTTAATTAGGCCATAGTATTCTGGTGCTTAATGCTATGAAATAGCAAAGGGTCAGGAATGAAATATTAATTATTTTCAAAATAAATATGGTTGGATTGACCTTTCAAGATGTGGGCAACTAAATTTCTGTGTCAGTTTTACCTCCATGAAAAGAAAGTCATAGATGCCGGTGCCTTCTTGGTTGTGAATTATGACTTAATAGTGTCATTCAGCAATATGTTAAGTATTCAGTAATTGTAGTGATGATAAGACAGGTCCTACATAAAAATTAGCTATCTTCATATTGACTGCTTTTTCTTAAAAAAAAAAAAGATTACTTTTTAAAATTGATCTTCTGTTTTTACCTTAAATGTGTTTCTAAATGTATCCGGCTATATTTATTCTTCCTCCTTCCACTATCTAGAAAGCCCTATCTTATAACAAAGGTTTTTTTAAAGGATAAAAAATGGGAGCTCTGCAAAAATTAATCAACATTTCTGTGCCTGATGCAATACTTATACACCCTACCTCTCCACTTCTGTCATGAAGGGATGGAGGTGCATTTTCCAAATTTGAAGATTACTTTTTAGTAAGTATTCCCTATAAAGGAAGGCAGTATGGAACATTAAAAAGACCTAAATTTATTGTCAGAGAACTTGAGTTCAAATCCCCTTTCTGCCATTTAACTTCTTATGTCTTTTGGTTCTCAGTGTCTCTGGGCTTGCCCTTTCCTTATCTGTAAAATTAGGAAGTTGGTTTTTAAGATTCCTTCCAACTCTAAACTTTTGGGTATTTGAGAATGAGTAATATTTATTTAATAGACCTTAAATCATTTTATGTAGTCTCTTAACTTTTAGATAACCTGAAACTCCTTTTATCTGTATCACTTAATTTTGAGGATGTTGTGGGATTCCTTTTTGTTTTATATAATCCTGAAATACTAATACCTAGTAAAGGTTATATATACTCTTTGAAATCAAAGAAACAAGGAAATAGCATTGTTTATCTCCAAGACAGAATGTAATCAAGTTTAAACTGGCATGATCCAGACAGTGACAAGCAGGAACTCACAACTGGGTACTCAATGCAGTAAAATGATAATAATATATCAAAATAATGGAGACACACAGAAAATATAAATTAAAAAATTTTTCTGTTTCTTCAACTAAAATGTTGCAGTAGTCATTCCAGCATTTTTCGGTTTTACTTTTAGATATCCCTCTCCGACAAGTTGTGGCAGAGGAGTGTGTTGCCTTTTTGTTAAATTGGCGAGAAAATGAATACCTGACTCTTCAAGTTCCTGCCTTCCTGCTTCAAAGTAACCCATATGTGAAGGTAATGGTGATATTAATGTGAAAGAATTATGGGGAAGGTGGTGCTGCCACCTACTTTAGGTCTGCAATACTTTGGAAACCTTTCCTTTTTTTTTTTTTAGCACTTTTTACTATTATAAAAACATTGAAAAGCATCATTGTTACTGAATATATTGAGAAATTTTTGAGGAAGTGACAGCAAATGGATATAGACTACTTTTTGTACTCTTAAGCCTTGTTAGGAATTTTACATTCATGTTGGATTTTAGTAGTTAGGAGTGAAAGATGCAGGGCTATATGGGCAAGGTAGAAAGTATGTCTGAAAGGTCTGTGGGAGATGGAAGCCACAGCATCGCAGATCCTTGAGGGTCTGGACCCTGTAGTTCTGAGAAGGTGGCAGGAGATGAACAAGAACTTTTCAAGGAGTTAAGTTTGAATGGAAAGGATTATAGTTCATTTTTGATGGAAAGAGGAGCCAGTAGTAAAGTAGAGTCACCATCAAGTGTCTTGGTTCCAACTTCTAGTTTTAATGTGAGACATTGAGACTCTCTTTTGCTTCTAGTGCCCCTGTCCCCATAAACCCATGTGTAAAAGCATACCAGGACAGTTTTGCAGGGGTAATTTCAGATAACTGTAGTTATTAAATATATGGGTAAGTATGATAGGTGGGAAACAGGAATATGAAAGTTATTTATATGCATGTTTTATGATACTTGATTTTTTAAAAATTATTTTGTATGATTAAAGAAGCCATAAGTTTAACTGCTACCTAAACTGAGCACATTTTTCTAAACTGAATGTATCTAACTCTTGTGTGCAGAAAATTGGTTTGAGCTAATGGGCTTCAGCATCCCTGATTCAGATCAAGTTATATTACCTACCTGTATTACCCTGTTGTGGGAGAGGAATCTCTTAGGGTCTGAGAGATGGAAGTTCCTAAAACAGTTTGAATGTCCTTAATTCTCATTCCTTTGCCATATTGAATCTGTGGGTATTTCCTGCCCATAGAGTGCTTTGTAAATTGTAAAGAAGTATAGAAATGTAAAGTATATTTCTGACCAATACACGTGGTTTATGTTTCATGCTAGTATAGAATTGCTAAGAAATCATGATTCCAACTTTACCCACAACTTAGAGATGCAGAACAACCGGTGGTCCAATTTTAATATCACAACATGAAATAAACTTTGGTCCTTAAACAAGCATGTGTGTTAACCTATATTTATTCAGATACACTCAGAAGAGAGAAGTGTGACAAAACAATATCATTCTCCTTTGCGTGCATGGTTTTATTTTTTTCATGTTATAGATGGGACAGCTTTTGGCAGCTACATGCAAAGAACTCCCAGGCCCTAAAGAAAGTACTCAGATGGCTAAAGATCTTTGGGAAGTAGTGGTTCAGATCTGTAGTATATCCAGTCAGCATAAGCGAGGCAACGATGGGAGAATTAGTTTAATAAAGCAGAGGGAATCTACATTGGGTATTATGTACAGGTAAGTTTCTGCCAATTATGTTCTTTAAATGTGCATGTTTGAGTCATTATTTCCAAAACCTGCCACATGAAAAACATCCATCCTTAAGAACATCGTGGTCATTACTTCTGTGTAAAATAGAACATAGGAAGTTGTCATCTTTTGTGATCATCGTAGCTGCAAGGGACAACTTGTTTTGATGCTGATCGTTTTAGGATGTTAAATACTAACTGGTAAATATAATCTAGCAAAATTGAAAATGAAGAACACTGCAAGTTATTCAGTACTGAGGATTTTATAGGAAATAATATAGTAGCTACTATTGCTTTTATCACTATGGAGCTAGAAAGTTGGAATTTGTCCTGAACCTTAACATTCTGCTTTATAAACAAGTTTTATTTAAAAAAAAAATCTTGATTTTCATCTGAATTTCTGATATTGAATAACATGTTCAAAACTTTTTGTTTTATAGAAGTGAACTGCTCTCTTTTATCAAAAAGCTACGGGTAAGTTTGACAAGAAGATTGACCATATTGCTGGTGTTACTTTAGTATAAAATTGAACGAGAATGTTTTTCCAGGTTCTAAACGTAGAGAAGATTTTTAGAGAACTCTGGAATCAGTTTTGAGTTCATTTATATGATTTCAAATGATAAAGTTTAAAGGTAATGTGATCTAAGTGGATATTGTTAACTATGATTTTACTTTAATAACAATACTAAATATTTTGTAACTGGAGAATAATAGCCATGAGGAAAGAATATGTAAATGAAGACTGTTTTCTCTCATTGTTAAAAAAATAGTTATTTTTATTTTTCAAGTAATGTATGTTTTTATTACTCTTTACCTCCCTCTATTATTCCTGCCTCCGTGGAGCAAATTTAATAAAAAAAAAAAAAAGAGCGAAAGAACCTCCCCTCCCCACACACCCGCTGCTCCCCTCCTATCCATCATAGCTACGTAATCCAGCAAAACAAAATCCATATCCAAAAATGTGTTTATTTTTGTGAAGTGTAAGTTTTATCTTCTCTGTCAAGAGGTAAAAGGTTTTTCATTGTTACTCTTTTGGATGTGTAGTTTATTATGACATTGATCAGAGTCTTTCTGATCAGTCTTTCAAATTGTTTTTCTCTGTTATGTTAATGTGTAAATTATTCCAGTTCTGCTCTCTTCAGTCTGCAACAGTTAATAAAAGTCCTAGTTTTCTCTGAAATTGTCCATTTCATAATTTCTTATGGCACAGTAGTATTTATTACATTCATATACCATAATTTGTTTAGCTATTCCCCAGAAGGAGGATAGCTCCTTAGTTTCTGATTTTGGGGTATCACAAAAAGAGCTACCATAAATATTTCCTTTTTCTCTGATTTCTTTGGGTTAGAGGTCTAGTAGTGCTATCCTTGACTGAAAAGGCAAGCACAGTTTGATAACTTCATGAGCATAGTTTCAAGTGGCTTTGGAATGGCTAGACCAGTTCACAGCTCTACCAGCTGTGCTTTATTAGTACTGTACCTGCTTTCCTACAGTCCTTTAGAACATTTTTTCGTAAGATTGTTAATAGCTTTCTTTTCTTAATTTTGAAAACTGCCTGTTATATTCTTTGACCATTTACTTTGGGGGGAATGCCTGTTCCTTTATGCCCTTGCATAAAGATTTTTTTTTCTTAAATTGTTTAGTTATAATTGTCACATGCAACGTACTCACTTATTGGACAAGTTCTACTATTCCTTTTTGTTTTATAAATTCATTTAAAGGATCAGAAAAACCTTGGAAACTAGGCAGATAGGCTTGAGAAGAAGTCACTTTGGAAGCTGAGTGGAGAACCGAGGAATTGAGGGAAGCTCAGGCCAAATAGAGCATGGTACACCTAGACAATGGAACTTTGACATAAATCGTGTACCTGAATTTTTAGGTGGCAAAAAGTCAAGGTGATGTCTCTCATCCTGTAAAAGAAAACCAACAGGTTGCTGTTAAGTGTCATATCAAATGAAATTATATAGGTTAAAGATCTTGTTCTTACCTTCCTTAAGGGTAAAATCCTGTTAGAAAAGTGGTTGTTGAAAACCAAGAAGGAAGATATAGAGAAATTCCATTAAAAATAACTTCAGACAATATAAAATACTTGGGAGTCTATGGGCCAAGACAACCCGAGGGATTGTGTGAACAGAAATGCAAAACACTTTTCACAAAAAGAGCTGAACAACTGCAGAATATTAATTGCTCATGGATAGGTCAAGCCAATATAATAAAAATGACAATTCTACCTAAGTTAATTTACTTGTTTAGTGCCATACTAATCAAACCACCAAAGAATCATTTTATAGAGCTAGAAAAATAAAATTCATTGGGAAGAAGAAAAGATCAAGAATATCAAGGGAATCAATGAAAAAAAAATGTTAAAAGAAGGCAGTCTAGCAGTTCCATATTTCAAACTGTATTACAAAGCAATGATCATGAAAACAATCTGATACTTCCTAAGAAATAGAGTAGTGGTTTAGTGGAATAGATTAGGTACATCATACACAGTAGTAAAAAGACCATAGTGATCTAGTGTTTAATAAACCCAAAGATCCAAGCTTTTGGGGTAAGAACTCAACATTTGACAAAAATTTCTGGGAAAAATAGAAAGTAGTTTAGCAGAAGCTAGGCATAGACCAACTTCTCATACCATATACTAAAGTAAGGTCGAAATAGATAAATGATTTAGACATAAGGGATGATGTTATAAATTGGGGGAGCATGAAAAAATGTACCTGTCATATCTTATGTTGTTTTCATTTTGGTTTTTTTTCATATCTTTTGTTAAGGGAAGAGTTTATGACCAAACAAGAGGTAGAGGGGATTATGGGAAGTAAAATTTTTATTGCATGAAATTAAAAAGCTTTTGCACAAGCAAAATGAATGCAGCCAAAATGAAGAGGAAAACGGAAAACCAGGAAAACATTGTTTACATCTGGTTTCTCTGATAAGTCCTCATTTCTCAATATATAGAGAACTAAACCAAATTTATAAACATAAGAACCACTCCCCAATTGATAAATAGTCAGGGGATATGAACAGTCAATGTTCAGAATTAAAATTAAGGTTATCAATAATCACGTGAAAAAAATGCTCTAAATCACTACTGATTAGAGAAATGCAAATTAAAACAACTCTGAGATACTATTATCTGATACCTATCTGATTGGCTAACATGACCCAAAAGGAAAATGATGAATATTGGAAAGGTTGTGGGAAAAATTGGGATGCTCCATTGTTGGAGCTGTGAACTACTTCAATCATTCTGGAGAACAATTTGAAATATGCCCAAAGAGTTATTAAACTGTGCGTACTCTTTGACCCAGAAATACCACTACTAGGTTTGTATCCCAAAGAGATCAAAGAAAAGGGAAGAAGATGTATTTATACAAAAATACTTATAGCAGTTCTTTTTGCAGTTGCAAAGAGTTGGAAATTGATAGTCTTATCAGTTGGAAATTAAACAAAACGTAGTATGTGATTGTGATGGAATACTAGTGTTTGATGAGAAATAATGAGCAGGATGGGTTCAGAAAAACCTGGGAAGACTTATATGAACTCATGCAAAGTAAAGTGACCAGAATAAAGAGAACACTGTACACAGTAACAGCAACATTGTAGGGATGATCAGCTATTAATAAATTAGCTGCTCTGATCAATACAGTGATCCAAGACAATTCCAAGGGACCCATGATGAAAAATGCTTCACCTCCAGAGAGAAACTGATGTACTGTTAGTGCAGATTGAAGCATACTATTTTAAAGCTTCCTTTATTTTTATGGTTTTATTTTGTTGGTATTTTGTTTTGCAGCATGGTTAATGTGGAAATATGTTTTGCATGACTTCACATGTATAATTGAAATAAAATTGCCTTTTTAAGGAGGGGTGAGAGATAAGGGGAGGGAGAGAATTTGAAACTCAAATTTTTGAAAAATGATAAACTTTTTTATGTGTAATTGGGAAACATTTAAAGTAATGCATAAAAATAAAAAGAATAAATGTTGTTGGGGAAAAAAAGTGGTTGTTCTAAGGGTAAAGGTAAATTAGAATGTATAATTTTTGTAATTTCTTTTTTCTCGTTCCCTCACAGGAACCATTGGTTTTGACTACAATATTATCTTTGTTTGTGAAACTTCATAATGTTCGGGTTAGTTTTTATTTCATAATTTACCCTTCTAGAAAACTTTGATAAAAATATGGTACTAATTTATTAATATATTTTTAGGAGAACTTTGTGAATGAGATTACAGCTGAGCACATTTCTATTTGGCCTTCTTCCATTCCCAAGTAAGAAGCATTAAATTTTTCCATACTTATGCGTACTCAGTAACTGAACTAATAAAATAATAAAACATTGATTTGCCGAAGTCTGGGACAGTCTTAAAAGTATCTAAAATAATCATTTATTGTTTTTTAATCAGCTGATTAGTTTTCACATTGAGGGACATACAGTTTTCTCTGAAAAGTTCTCTTAGGGGCAGCTAGGTGGCGCAGTGGTTAGAACACCAGCCCTGAAGTCAGGAGGACCTGCGTTCAAATACAGCCTCAGACTAAACACTTGACACTAGCTGTGTGACCCTGGGCAAGTCACTTAACCCCAATTGCCTTAAAAAAAAGTTCTTTTAATTCAAATTATGAGTAATAAATGAGAATTAGACTAAATTAACACTTAGTGACTAATATACATCTCCTACCTCAAGAATCAGTGATTTCAGCATTGCTTATATCTACTTTACCAATGAAGATTACAATCTTGTGTGCCTTAGTGGGCCATCTTCATTAATTAGTATCGATAGCCTTCTGGTAATGAGCCTCTACAAATTTAGTTAGTTTTGCCCTTGCATGACAAATAACAAAATGTCATTGGGCCTACTCTGTTTTTCCAGGTTGCTAAGAGCAACCTGTTTTGTTGGTATAGCTTTGGAGAACCCAGAGTCACTGCCATACCTTGATGAAAAATTTAGTCAAAATTTAGCAGAGAAGTGTACTGAAATGAACTATAAAGAGTTTATGTGAATGTAAGTTATCATACAGTTTAAGGAGTTAGGTTCCAGTGATTACGGTTGGAAATCTTCAGCTACTCTGAGGGCATATTGTGGTGGAGAATGTGCATTTTAGATAAATAAAGTCTTTTTCTTTTGCAGCTTATTTGAGATACTGAAACTGGCATAAATCATATTTAGTGCCTACTGTGTGCCAGGAACTGTGCTGTGTAGTGGATGCAAAGACAAAAATGTCCTCAAGAATCACCTGCAAAACTGTTTGATATAATTCTTACTCATCTTAATTTGATCAGACTGAAGCAGAAATTTAGAGGAAGCATTTTTATTCACTAGATTCATATGGTTTTTTGATGAGGCTTATTAATAAGTGCTTTATAATATGATTGTTGACTGATTAGTGTATTTTACCTTCACTTTGCATCTTAGTGGGGAAAAACCACACCTGATAATTTAGTCCAATGTGAGAAGCTTGCTTATCACAAAATCTCACCTAGTTATGATAGTGATCCTAGATCATTATTTCTGCATTTAAAAAAAATAATTGTCATTTATCTTCTTTCTATGTATGTTTCATGAATGCTTGTTATTTGGAGTAGATTTATTTTTAAAGTAATGACATATGTCAGATATCTTATTTTTCTAGCCTTCAGTCAGTGGACTTTGAAGCTGTGGCTGTTACTGTGAAAGAGTTGGTTCGTTATGCACTTACTATAAACTCAAACAATCATTCCTGGTTAATTATTCAGGCAGATATTTATTTTGGTAAGTGGTGTTTACTTGTCATAGATGTTTGTTTTTTCAGTTGCAATTAAGTCCATATTTTACTGAAATACTTTTTGTATAGATTAAGAAGTCTAAGTTCTGTGTTTTCTATAATTGTGACTTTTCCTCCAGAGTAAATGGAAAGAGCAATTGAAACTTAATGATTTACAGTTTTTTTCACATAGAACTTTTGGTTCAGATGATTCTAATTTGATAGTGACATTTATCACCTTTTTTCTTTAAAAATTAGATCCAGACCTTTTGGAAAAATAAGATGAAATGTCTTAGATAACGAATTTCAAATAGTAATTTGTTGTTAAATAGATTAAATTCAGTGTTACAGTTGCCTAACTATTTATGCCCTTAGAAATTATTAGGACTCTGAATTACTCTTTTTCTAGATTTTTATCTTGGCTAGGAAATGCCTAGTATTTCCATTACTGTACAGACCTAATAAAATTTTTCATTTCAATTATTTTGGAACCATATTTAGCTGTTTTTCCCCCCATATTTTTCAGAGCCCCAATACACATTCAAAACAAAGTATGTTAAATTTCCCAGGTTGCTCTGGGTGGGCGTATATTGCTACTGAGAAACTTTGAAAAAAAATTTCTTGGGGCAGCTAGGTGGCTCAGTGGCAAATGTGGCCTCAGACCAAACACTTGACTAGCTGTGTGACCCTGGCCAAGTCACTGAACCCCAATTGCCTAAAAAAAGAAAGAAAGAAAATTTCTTAAAATAAACAAAATCTCTGGTAATTCCTTGATAAGAAAAATGCAAACTGGAACTTTTGCAGATCCGTTTTCCTTCCAATTAATGGGCAAAGAAGCTATCAGTTGGCTACCCTGGCAAATGGTAAAATCAAAATCAATATTAATGTTTTTTTTTTCTCAAGGTATTTGTGTTAGATTTGTTTTGCTCCTACCTTTGCTATATATTTGATGCTTTAGTGTAACGTTCTTGCTAGTTTTGTCAGTTCTAATTACCTTCTGCATAAATATCATAAAATTTTCCAATTATGTTGTATCTAATTTTGTTCTCAACAGACTTTGAGATTATAATTCTTTATGTTTCCCACTGCAGCCACAAACCAGTATTCAGCAGCTCTTCATTATTACCTTCAAGCTGGAGCTGTGTGTTCTGATTTCTTTAATAAAGCTGTGCCACCAGATGTTTACACAGACCAGGTAACTAGTTCTTTATTATCATGTTAATTAATAGTTAAGTAGCACTTGAAAAATAGAAGGTGGAAAAAGCTTATAAAAGCTTGTGGCTTGTTAATGAAGAGAATTCTTGAGTTGGGAGAAGGGAGTAAGCATTTATAAAGTGCCTACTATGTGTCTGGCATCAGGCTAAGCACTTTACAAATATTATCTCATTTGGTCCTCACAACAACCCTGGGAGGCAGGTGCTGTCATTATCTTCATTTTAGAGTTAAGGAAACCAGGGCAGAGATGAAGTGACTTGTCCAGGGTCACACTGGCCAGATTTGAACTTAGGTCTTTCTGACTCCAAGCCCAGTGCTTTTTCCAGGGTGCCACCAGCTGCCTCTATTCCAGCCCATACCTGAATAAGAATTCCTTTAACAACATTCTCAGCAAGTGGTCACCCAGAAGTTGCTTAGAGTCCTTAAGTGGGGGAGAACCAACTATTTCTGCATGCAGCCCATTCTAATTGGAGTAGTGCACCACCATCTTGAACCAAACAGAAGTTCAAGAAGCACATCTGTCTATTCTTTTTGAATCCATGATTTGACTTCATCAAGGACATCTGTGTGCTTTCATTATCAACTTCCTTATCTTGGGTATCGCCCCCTGATAACCATTTTTGTTCTGCCTTCATCTGTCGAAAGATCATTCTTCTTGCCAGACAATAGAACGAATGTCAATTTCCCTCTTTTCTGTTTCGCATTAGAGTTATCCCCTCACCCACCAAGGAGCCTCTTATTCCCCTTTTTTCTTACCCTGAGCTTTCTTCAACATCCTCAACTTATTCTAGTCCCTGGCACCTCTGAAACTATTCTTATAGTTCCAGGTTAAACACTTTTGAATTCATGCTTCTTGGCTTTCTATCTTTTGTGCATGTTTTTGGTTATAAAGCAAGTTGATAAGTTCGTGTATTCATGTTTCTCTCCTTAAACAACTATTCTTTTCTTCCTCGTGACATGGTTCCGCTCTGTATCCTTGACTGACTGCCCTCATAGAATTTTAGGCCATGGGATCATATCTTTCCTTTCTCTGAACCATTTGAGATTTGTTCTTCCCACATCTAGGCTACAGATAAAACTTGCCAGCTTTCTTTCTGTCCCTTTGTTATCACAGTTATAGATAGGATGGAAGGGTCCCTTCTCCCTTTCACCAGATTGTCTTTGCACTGCAACAGTGAGTAGCGCCACCTTGTTAAGAATCAGATCCAGACTTGATTTTCCCCATGTTGGTTCTTTCAACTTTTGAAAGATAAAATCAAGCCTAGTTAGGAAAGTATTAGTTGCTCTGCTTTTTGGAAAGAGAGCTCCAGTAAGGTGTCTAAAAAATTAAAATTTTTCCATCTCTCCTACCTTTTCCTTTTGCTGTTGTGATTGTAGTATATTACAATGATATGGTTAATATTTCTGTTTTTATGGCTCTTGACCATTATGCTATTTACCTTGTTTCACCTTGGCACTCTATTTATAAATTTCTTCCTCTTGTTGTTCTTCATAATAATAATGATAGTTTCCCCTTGGCACCCTGTTTGTGAACTTTTTCTAACAATGATAACAACAACTAACAAACTGCTAACTATGTGCCAGGCACTGTGCTAAGTGCTTTATAATTATTGTCTCATTTGATCCTCAACAGCCCTGGGAAGTGGGTGCTACATTATCCCCGTTTTACAGATGAGGAAGCTGAGGCAAACAGAGGTGAATTACACAGCTAGTAGGTGTCTGGGACTGGATTTGAACTCAGGTGTTCTGGACTCCAGGCCCAGTGCTCTGGTATCCACTGAGCCACCTAGTTCCTAATATACATGTACATGAGTATATCTTCCTGATGTCCAGTGCTACTCTTCTTCCCATCCTAAACTTTTGAATAAAGTTACACCCTTCTTAGTGATATTCCAGTTATGTATCTGAGTGGCATGTCAAGATTTGATCATACATCACCCATTTCGTTTCCTCGCTATTTTTCCTTTTTTTTTTTAATGGTTTCTTGAAAGTAATTATAATTACTTTTCTCTATAGGTCATAAAACGAATGATAAAATGTTGTTCCTCTCTGAATTGCCATACACAGGTCAGTATGTTACTGTTGTTGTTAGAGTGGTATATATTTATTGCATGTTAAAATGGAAGATAGTAAGCTTTCTTGGGAGTAGGATTTATGTTTATCAAAATTTTGGTTAGCTTAAAGTGTTGCTTTTTCTGTGACTAGAGTTTGATGTTCTTAAATGTTTTGGGGACTTTGTAGAATTTCAATAAGAATAAAAAAATTTACAGGTTAGAAAAAAGATTAGAGCTGAATTGACAGATTGGAATAGATCTATTTGGTAATTGAAGAAGTATTTAATTTAGCATTGAGAGCCCTAACTAATTCTCTGCCTGTTAAGATCCCTTCCATTCTTCAAGGCCCAGCTTTCTGTGAAACCTGCCCTGGTCACCTCCCAAACAAAAGTGATCTATCCTTTGAATTTCTCCTAATACTTTCTACATTGCTTTTGTGAACTTATTACATTCTAGTTTGTCTTATAACTTATGTCCCTTCTTATCTCCTCTGATAGATTTTAGGCTCTTTTTAAAGGCAGGAGCAGTTTTATTTATCTTTGTAATCTGACCCACCTGACAACATTGCCTTCTAGTGTATGCTTTTGAATATTTAGAATTGGTCTTGTCCTATTAAGTATTTTAGTTGGGGTTTATGATATTTGTTCGTTTCCTTAGTAGCTCTTAACTGAATTAAGACTTTTTTGTTAGACTTTTATATTACCTTAGTGTTCTGAAAATGTCCTCACCAAAATTGGACAATACTAAAACTTGATAAGGTTTGTAATTAACTTTACAAATATTATCATATTGTATCTTCACAACAACATTAGGAAGTGGGTGCCATAATTACGCTCATTTTAGAGATGAGGAAACTGAGGTAGACAGGATAAATGACTTGTCCACGGTCATACAGCATTAGTGTCTGAAGCAGCATTTGAACTTATGACTTCCTTACTCCAGGTCCCGTGCTCTATCCACTGTGCCACCTAGCTGCCTCCATGGACATTTAGGGCAAAAAAAAAATAGCATTTTGTTATTTTAGGATAAACTAGTTTGATGGAGCTTAGCCAGAGATTTGTTATAGTCTGTGAACTTTTTAGGCCAAATACCTAAGTGAGATCTCTTAAGAGGAAGCAATTATATAAATATGCCTGGAAAAAGAACACAGGTTAAAGGCCCCACACATGTAACCATAAGAACTCAGCATCTAGTAGCATCATGGTTATCTAATTCAGTTAAAGAAGTTTTCAAGGCCTCCTCAAACAAGCATTCCCTGCAAGAGTATAAACTCATTATAACTTGAGAAATATAAGAATGAATGAGGATTCTAAATTGTTGATACTGAATAAAGAACTTTTTTTTAAAAAGATTTCATTTCTTTGTAGGTAGCAATTTTATGTCAGTTCCTTAGAGAAGTTGACTATAAAACAGCATTTAAGTCACTACAGGAACAAAATAGGTGGGTATCATTTGAAAAATAAAAAGAAGTTGAAATTTGTTTGCTTAATAATTAAAGTAACTTAAATTACTTTTTTTACCTTTTAGTTACGATGCCATGGACTCCTATTATGATTACATATGGGATGTTACCATTTTGGAATATTTGACATGTATCCTTTTGAGTTTCAAATTCTCTTCCTCTCTCTAGACCCCCTTCTTCCCTTCTTGAGAAGCAAGAAATACGATATCCATTATATATGTGATGTCATTCAAAACATATTTGGGAATTTTTTAAATGCATTTTCTCTATGGACTTGATTGATAATGTTTAAGATTTCCATTATTCTTAACTAATCTATTTAGATCTACATCATAAAAGAGGAGAAACAGATAAAAGACAAATTGTGGTAAGCTTGTTTCTTCTTTGATCATTGGTATACTTTTCTGTCCATAGTACTGAAATCAAGAATATCTTGATTCAAGTGCTACCATTTTATGTGACAGGAATTGACAGAATTTTGTTTTTAACATTTCATCTTTTAACAAAATATATACATTTTTGTTTAAATGCCTCATTTTCCTCATATGTAAAGCTATTATTTTAGTGGGATTTAATTAGATTAAATTATTTCCATATATAGTGACATTCTTACTGTAAATGCAACCCGAGCAATAATAACAGTAATTGACATTAATATAGCATTTCACTTTGCAAATCACTTTTCATATATTTTGTTTGAAGCCTCAGAACACTTCTGTGAAGAGGTATTATCTACACAGAGTTAAAGAAATTAGGGCTCAGGTTGTAACTTTTCTGTGATCACAGAGCTAACAGATGTCAGAGACAAGACTCAAACACAGTTTTAATCTCATCATTGTACCGCATTAAGAAATTGCACCAAAGAAAAACTATAACTTAAGGGTTGTTCTGAAAGGGGCAAATAAATAGTAAATGGGTTTCAGTTTACACCTGAAGGGAGAGCAATAACATCATTTCATGGGAGGGTTGGTCATCTTACCTTCTTTTGCTTATGAAGATATAACCAAACAGACTTATCATATAGCTAATTGCAAGTTACAGACTGACCTCCACTACAGAGGCTAAATGTATAGAGAAATCCTATCAAGAACCTGGAAAAAATAATTGTTCATTGTTTTTTGTCATATAGATTGATGTTTGTAGACGTTAGGGCAATAATGAGCACAAAGGAAAATGATGGGAACGTGTGGGAAATATGTCTAAGAACAAGAGAAACCAGAGGCTTTTTGACTTCTGAGAAGCATCCATAGGATGAATTTTGTACTTCACAAAGTGTCATAAGGCAGTAAATATGGAGATCCATCAATATTTTATGGTGGTTTTTTTTGTTGTTGTTTTTAGGCAATTGGGGTTAAGTGACTTGCCCAGGGTCTCACAGCTAGTATGTGTCAAGTGTCTTGTCTGAGATGGGATTTGAGCTCAGGTCCTCCTGACTTCAGGGCCGGTGTTCTATCCACTGCACTAACTGCCTCCATCAGTGTTGTTTAAAAATGAAGTTGACTGTTTCTTACAACATGAAAAGACACGGGTGGAATAGTCACTGGAAAGTCAGGTTTGTGCCCTTTGTTGGTGGATTACAAAAGAAGTAAATACAGAATTAGAAGAATTATAAAGATCAGTCAAATATTTGATAAGTGCCAACTGTGTGCCAGGAACTGTGCCAAGTGCTGGAGATACAGGTACACAGAAATAAGAATCTCTACAATAAAGAAACTTTTCTTTTTTAAGGGGGAGGGATAAATTTTATTTTTTCAGTAATCAAGCATTTTTTTGCTTCAAGGTGTAGAGAAAAAAATAAAAAATATTTTAGCAAATGCATTCTTAAGCAAAACAAATTCCTACTTTGGCCATGTCCAGAAACATGACTGTCAGCCTGCATCTTTAGTCCATCATGATCTCTGTCAGGAGTTAGGTTAAAAAAAAAATCATCATCATTGACTCCCCAGAATCATGGTCAATGATTGTGTTAATCAGAATTCTTTTAAGTCGTTCATAAGTGTTCATTTTTACACTGCTGCCGTTTTTGTTTTCCAGATTTCTCTGAAATAGTTTTTTATCATTTCTTACAGCACAACAGCATTCCATTATATTTGCATACCATAATTTGTTCTCATTCTCCAGTTATTGACTGCTCCTTTACTTTCTAGCTCTTCCGCATTACAAAATGAACCGACATAAATATTTTTGTTTTACGGGAGCTTTTCTTCTTTCTTTGAATTTTTTGGGTATAGACCTAGTAGTGATATTGCTTGGTAAAAGGATAACAGACAGTTAGTTAACTTTGGGCATAGTTATGTATTGCTTTCCAGAGTGGCTGGACCAATTTACAGTTCCACTAGCAGTGCATTACTAGGCTTGTTCTACCTATTTGACTGACCCTTCTCAATTTCCTTTGCTGGATCTTTATCCAGGTTTTCACTTGCTAAAGTGTAGGTCTCCCACACGTCTTTGTCCTAGGCCCTCTTCTTTCTTTATACTCTTTCCCTTGGTGATTTCATCAGTTCCCATAGATGCAATTATCATCTTTCTGATGATGATTCTCAGATCTACTTCTCCAACCCTAAGCTTTCTCCTGACTTCCAGCTACTTGTTAAACTAGATGCCCCATAGACACCTTAAACTCAGCATGTTCAAAACAGAATTCATGTTTTGCCTAACCCTTCTTTCTTCCTAACCTCTGTTGCTGTTGATGGTACCACCGTCCTCTCAGTCACCCAGACTCACAGCCTAGGTATTATCCTCGATTCCTCATTCTGCACCTCCCCACCCCAATAACTAATCTGTTGTCAAGTCCTATGCTATTTTTGTAACATCTGTCATGTATGCCTCTGACACAGCCACAGTTCTGGTGCCAGGCCCTCATCACCTCATGCCAGGATTGTTTCAGTAATCTGCTGGTTAGCTTTCCTGCTCAAAGTCTTTCCCCACTCCTGTTTTTCCTCCACTCAGTTTTATCTTCTTAAAACACAATTCTAAAAATCACACATGTACACACACCCATTCAGTAAATTCCAGTGGCTACTCTAGTTTAACCTGTCTATATTTAATTTCAACATAGTTGCTTGCATATCATCTGATCTGCTTGACAACAGGGAGCTTCGTTGGGGAGGGGAGGAGCTTTCTTTGTATCCCCAGTGCTTAGCACAGTTTCTGGCCCTATACTAGATGCTTAAGAAATTATGGATTCATAATTGTCACTTTCATCTTTTATGATCTTCTCTACCCCTTGTTTAGTCATGAACTCTTCTCCTTTCCCTTATTGAAAAAGTAATTTCTTCCTTGCTCCTCTAAGGAAGCTTTCTGATGTGGAAGGCAAGTACTGTATAAATATGTACAGCATGAATATAAAATGAATAAATACAAATAGTTAAATACAAGTAAGTTGACAGGGAAGGCACTAGCATTTAGGAAAATAAAGATAGGCCTCATGTGGAACATAGAGTTTGAGCTGCGCCGTAAAGGAAGAGAGGAGCTCTGTTAGATGGAAGTAAAATAGAGTGACTTGTAGGCATAGGGGTGTGGCATAAAGACGGGAGACAGAGTCTGACAAGTAAGATAACTTAGTGTAGGGTTTTAAAAGTCAAGCAGAGAAGTTTGTTTTATCCTAAAGGCAATTAAGAAGCCACTAGAGTTGTTTGAATAAGGGAGTCCCATCCTATCTCTGCTTAAGGAAATATTACTTTGCCAGCAGTGTGTAGGATAGACTAAAGTGGTGATAGACTTGAAGGAAAAAGACCAGTTAGAAGGTCTTTGGAATAATCCAGGTGACAGTTAATGAGAACCCAAACTAAGGTAATTACTTTATGAGTGGAGAGATGAGATGAGTACAGGATTACAGCATGTATTTTTGAAAGTTATCAGTTCCACAGTCCCAACATATCGTGACTATCATCGTTTTTTAGGAATTTGTTGTTCAGTCATTACAAGTGTAGGTTTTCTTGGCAAAGATACTAGAATGATTTGCTGTTTCCTTTTCCAGCTTATTTTACAGGTGAGGAAACTGAGGCAAACAGTGTTGAATGACCTGCCCAGGCTCACACAGCCAGTAAGTTTCTGAGACCAGATTAGAACTCAGGTCTTCCTGACTCCTAGGCCTAGCATTCTGTCCACTGCATCACCTAGCTGCCCTTTCTTAGAGAAGTTTAGTGTAAAAGTCACCATATCGAGATAGATAGCAGCCCACTTGTAGCCATTGGCTAGGTGGGTAGCATGGATCTGGAGTCAGGAAAACCTGAGATTGAATCCAGTCTCAGACACTGACTGGTAGGAATAACAGATGATTACAAGTCAAGGTGCTACCTCAGTAGCTCAGAGATAGTTGTGTTTTTTTTTTAAAGGATCATAAGAAATCTCTAGTGTGTTAGTTGGAACTTTGAGATTTATAGATAAGAAATGCAAAGAAAGATCTGCATCAGGAACAAATCACAGAAAAAGCCATAGTATCTTATTTGTCAAAACTTCTGCGCATAAATAAGCCAGTTTCTCCTTATTTTAGTGGGGTTTTATTAGATTTAATGATTTAATCCATCAAGGTGTAATCAATTTAGAATGACAACAAAATTTTCAGAATCCACTTTTAAAATACTATCAGACAGCACTAACCCTTCCACCTTTAGATGTTTCTGGCACTATAAGAGAAAACTCAAGTATATAGCTATAGTAAAGGAACACAAATTCCTATAATAATTTTTTTCTCCTCCCCAACTCCTTCCTTCATATTAGGAGACCTCAACATACATTCTCACTCTCCCTCAAACACCATAACCTCTCAGTTCTTCAACCTACTCACTTTCCATGAGCTACTCCTCTACCCTACCTCAGCCACACACCCTTGATCTTGCCATCGCTCACAAATGCACCACCTCTATGTTCAAGAGTTCTGAAATTCACTTATCCAACCATAGATCCAATGGCTTTTCACATCTCCCTCTGCCTTCCCTTACAAAACCCTACTCTTCTTCCGTAATACTGTAACATCCAATTCCTTGATCCCTTGGTTCTTTCTCTGGCCATTTTTCCCTACACTAATGACATTGTCCTCTTTTCCCTGTCTTGACCCCTCAGTGAACCAATTCATGCCACATCCTCTCTTGAATCACTGTCCTCCTTATATTGGTGAATAAGCCCTGCCAATCCTCAACCTTCGATCATTCCCACCAATTTTTTGGAATTTTTTGGAACCTTTGTTCCTATACATATACTGCTGAATGAAGGAGGAGAAAGTCATGCATCCATTCTCACTGGGTCCACTACAGATTTATGATACACAACCTTAGCTAAGCCCTAACTGCTGCTGGGCAGTTCTACTATATCTCTCTTATCAACTCACTGCCCTGCTCTCCACTACAATTATTCTAAATCTTTTTATCTCTTCCTAAACCTCCCATGACTCCCTTCCCTCTCCCCTCTCAGCAGAGATCCTTGCTTCATATTTTACAGACAAAATAATTCTCTTGCCATGAGTTCCATTTTCTTCCCTTTTCCTCATCTCCTGTCACTCAGATGCCTTCTGCCACTATTTCCTCCTTCCCTGCTTCATATGAAATGGCCTTACTCCTTACCCAGGTTAACCCTCTACTTGTTCAGATGATCCTATTCTATCCCATTTCCTCCAGAATGTCCCCTATTATCTCCACTCTGTCACTTATTTTCAGTCTCTCCCTGTTTATTGGGTCATTATCTGCTGCCTACAAACATGTTCACATCTCTCTTGTCCTGAAAATTTGCCTGATCCTTCTATCCCCACTACCTATCATCTTATATCTCTTCTGCCCTTTGTAGGTAAACTCTTCAAAAAAGCTGTCTACAATTGGTACTTCCACTTTTCCTCTTCTCACTCTCTTTTTAACTGCTTATAATCCTGCTTTCAACCTTATCATGCCAATGAAACTACATTTTCCAAAGTTATCAGTAATTTCTTAGTTGCCAAATCCAATGACCTTTTCTCAGTCCTTGTTCTCTCCTCGACCTCCCTATAGCCTTTGAAACTGTTGGTCACACCCTCCTTTATACTCTGTCCTCTCTAGGTTTTCAGGACACCACTCTCTCCTGGTTCTCCTCCTATTAGTTCTCTCCTTTTAGGCCACACCTTCTCAATCTCCTTTGCTGGATCCTCATCCAGATTATGCCCTCTAACCATAGTTGTCCCACAGGGTCTTTCTTGGGCCTTCTCCCTCTATACTGCTTGGTGCTCTTATCTGCTCCCATTAATTTAATTACTATACCGATGATTGTCAAATCTACCTGTCTTGCTCTCTACCAGTCTTGTATCTTCAACTGCCTTTGAGATGTCTCTAACTGGGTGTCCAGTAGGCATTTTAAACTCATTATATCCAAAACCAAATTCATTCTCTTTTTCCCTAAACGCTCCCCTCCTACCTTCCCTATTTCTGTAGAAGGTAACACCATCTTCCCGTAACTTCTCATTCTTTCACCACCCCCCCATATCCAAACATATGATACCCCATATGACAAAGCCTGTAATGCCTTTGCAACATCTCTCAAATATGCCCCCTTCTCTCCCCTGACCCTGTCACCACTCTGGTGCAGGCGTTTGTTACTTCATGCATGGACAGCTGCAGTAGCCTGCTGATGATCTCTGTTCATTCCTGTCCATCTTTCAGTCACCAAAATTATTTTCCTAAAACTCAGATCCATCACTTCCCTTTACTCAGTAAACTACAAAGGCTTCCTATCAACTTCGGGATCACATACAGAATGCTGTTTAGCATTCACAGCCCTTCATGCCTTGCCCTCTGCTACCTTTCCAATCTTCTTACACGTACTCTTTTGTTCAGTGACACTGGCCTTATTTTTTCACAAACCAGAACTCCATCTCTGCTCCAGGCATTTTCTCTGGTTGCTACATAACTGGAAACCTCTCCCTTCTCATCTCTGCCTTCTGGCTTCCTGGCTTTGTCCCAGCTAAAATTTCATCTTTATAAGAAGCATTTTTCAATCTCTTATTCTAGTGGCCCCCCCCTTGTTAGTTATCCTTATTTATCCTATATATAGCTTTTTACATATATTTATTTGTTGTCTTCCTACATTAGATTGTGAGCTTCTTGAGGGCAGTGACTCTTCAGCTTCTTTGTGTCCCAAACACTTAGCACAGTGTACATAATATGGGCTAAATAAATGTGTATTGACTTAAAGGCTTTAAGACAGGTTAATTTGCTGTTTTATTTTGGGAAAGCATATTCTTAGTATAAACTAAACTGTGAATAAGGATCACTTAAACTCTATGTTAATTAGATCATTTGACCCAAGAATAATATAGGCCTACTACTTTTTAGGATTTTAAAAGTTAATGAAAAATTACATGTACACATTTTTTGGTTAGAGACTCTAGGTACATAATAGTAAAAATAAGTACATTACATTTTCAGCTTGAGAACAGGAATTAAGTGCTCAATAAAAACAAATGGAAAGAGGCAGCGAGGTGGCACAGTGGATAGAGCATAGGCCCTGGAGTCAGGAGGACCTGAGTTCAAATCCCATCTCAGACTAGACATTTGACACTTACTAGTTGTGTGACCCTGGGCAAGTCACTTAACCCCAATTGCCTCACTCCAGAAAAAACCCAAATGGAAAAAAAAGTCTTCCTTTCCATTCCATTATGTTGCTAAATACACTATGAGGATAGAGAATAAAAGGAGATAAATGATCTAGGGATGAGGTGGGGTGGGAACCAAGATCCATTATGTTATCATACAGATTAAACTGGAAAATTGTCATATTTTAGTATAGTGTAGCACTATTTTAACATATATATAATTTTCAAAACTATCCTGTTTTGAAAGATAAAAGCCATTGGACAGACAGAACTGAATATGAGTAATCCTGAAGAAGTATTACAGCTTGCAGCCCAGAGAAGAAAGAAGAAATTTCTCCAAGCAATGGCAAAACTTTACTTTTAAAGAAATGTTCTCATTCAAAAAGTATGATTAACTTTATTTTTTTTAAACAAAGTTTAAAATAAACAGTATTAAAATATTACATTTATACAATATATGTACAAATAAGTGGTGGTGTTTTCCTCACACAATGCACTGAAACATTTTAAGGGGAAAAAAACTAACCTAGTGCAGTTTCTTCAAAAGAAGAAAAGATTTCACAGATCAAGTAGCAGAAATAATCTAGTGTAATTTTTTTTCTGATGAAGTCCAATTGCTTAGATGCTGATATTTATACAGAAATTTCTCTTTATATACCAGGTTCTTGAGTGCCCCATTTTGAGTTCTTACATTATTTTTCTAGTAAGTTTTCTAGAAGCCACTGTACATACACCTTTTTTTTTGCTTTAGCCGTTTCTACTTTAAATCATCTCTCTCCACATTGTCTTTTTATTCATAATGTATTTTTTGAGGGGAACCCTAAATTTTCTGAACATAAATGACTTTAGTCTTTACAACTTTTAAAAAACGTACCTTAAAGGGCATATTTTCTTTGATATTTCATAAAGCTATTTTTCATATAAAAATTTTCCCTATTAAAATCATTGTGATAATATACAAAGGTTTTATATAAAGCAACCTGTATATTAAACAAAGCTCTGATTAAGATGTGCACAGCTATTTGCTAAATCTGAAGTTTAGAAAAGCCAACCTTTTTCTTGTTTTATCTTCTTTAGTTTTACCCAAAGATTATATTAATCTTCCTAAAATTCACAAAAGTTTGTGTATTTTGGAGCAGAATGCTATTGCAGCTGTAATGAAAATTTTATCTTATTAAACCTTTGTAAACAGTCAAGAAGTTTTTTTCAAGAATTAACTGAATAGCACCAATCAAATGAGTTCTTGAACTTCCAGAGTACAATTTAAAAGTAGCACTCATCTAGTCCAAAATATCTCAAACAGTAACATTCCTAATTTATCAGAATGAACTTTGTTGCACAAGTCCCAAAAATGTAGCTATGGTAAAAATTATATCTGACTACATAGTTCCTGGATCTGTACTCACCCTGGAAATGAAATACTAATGTTTGTAAACTAGTTCTGCTGTTTTCTTGACAGCTAAAATTTGAACTATGGTTATCCCAATTGTGAATGAATGGATAGGCTTTTAACTTGTTCATGGCAGTGTAATTCTCAGTTGGTTAGCACTATTAATAAAATTGTGTTTTAGCTGTTTCAGTACTCCAAAAAGAATATGATATTCTACTGCCAAGTAAGGACAAATCCACTCAGCATGTTGTCAGTTAACTTTGTCTTTTAGTGTTTTCCTGGGGATTTTTCTGTGCTCTTCGGTGGTGTCATGATGCCTCCACTGCACACTGGTGATAACTGTCCTACTTTTGTGAAAGCTGACACATAATTGACTTCCTCCTGTTTTGAAAAAGAAAGATCTATTGTCAATACAAATCATTTTAGCAACAGAATTGTCAAATTTATTCTCTCTCAAATTTTCTCTTTCAAGCATTGGCCAACTATAACTCTCTTTGGTCATGTTTCCAAAGCTCAATAGTACTCTGCCTTTTATGTTCAGCTGCCTGTTAAAGTTTGCACAAATGTATTAAGCATTCTTCTTAATCTTAATTGTCCTTACCAGCTTTTCTAATTAATTGCATAATGACGTGTAACTGTAAAATCCTGAGGTACCTTCTGGATAGGAAGCAGGTCAAACTGAGTATATCATTATATTCATTTTGAAATAATGACAATAGTAGTGTGGTACACTTATCCAATGTTCTGGATAAGAATTAGCTCAATTTCCTATTTCCCTAGCCATGTTAAATTAATTATAAGTTTGGTCTAGCAGTATCAATTTGCATTTTGTGATATGCTAAGATAAAAACTAGGTGAATAATGTTCTTTATTTGGATAATAAATTATCCAAAATGATTTAAATTTCAGATTATCTTTTCAAACCCCAAAGAAAGCAAAGTCATACCAGCATAGCCAAGTAATTTGTGTGTGTCTGGATATTGTGTCTGTCTTCTACAGAAATCTTCTTAAAAACCTTCAATTTCACCGGAGGACCACCCTTCACTACTCTGGCAAAAGGTACCATCCATTCTACACATTCTGAAATGTTGTCCCACTCTAAACCTGTGGATCAAAAGGAAAATGTATAGTTCACATTACAGAAAAACAGTTTTTCCTTTAAAATATACGTTTGTGTGTGTGATGCTTTGCCTCATCTTCTGGAACTTAAGATATATGAGCTTTCTTCCCCTTCTCTGCCTTATTATTTGATCCCCAAGTTTAATGTCTATATCTCTCTGTATCTCACTGTATTTGGAAAGAAAAAGATACTGTTTATTCATCTTGCCTGTGGTATTATGCCAATATCTAAATGTGAATTGGGAGGTGATGGTTAGCAACATTAGCGGCAGTTTATGTGATCAACTTTTAGATTTTAGTAATGGCAACTGATTTTATGTTAGCCACGTCTAGACAATATACTCATTTTGTATTGCTGCTTTGTATGCCTTGGAATCATGACTGAGACATGTCAGAGATTTAGACTAATTACAGTTAAAAACATCTAAAGACAACTGGCTAGTTTTCAAAGTGCAAGCCAAGTTTTCAGCATAACATACAAATAAATTTTCATATCTGTACTGTTTCTCAGAATATAAATTTTTATTCATCTCATAGCAAAACTACAGAGTGAGTGTTGCAGCAGACAAAAGTCTGTTCAGATAAAACAGTGACTACTTCTTTACTCTATTTGTAACGAATTAAAATTTCCATTTGAGCTTAAACTTTCTTTTATATATGGATTTTTATGTGAAAATAAGGGAAATAGCATCCAGTAAGAGAGTACACAGAATTCGGAGTTAGGCACCTGGGTTCAAAATCCCTATTTAGGCCCTTCTTACTTTGTGTGACCATGAACTTTATACTTCCTAGGCCTCAGTTTCCTCATCTACAAAATGAAAGAGTAGGACTAGAAGTCTTTCTAAGAACCATTGAAGCTCTAAATCTATGATTTCATGATCAGATTAGAAAATTTCACTCAAATCAAAAGTGAAAGTATTGTCCCTCAACAATTAGACTTTAGGTTAAATTTTTATAATTTAATAGCATGAGTTATTGTATTGTATAAAGAAGTCAAGTAGGAGAATGTCTTACCTGAAGCTTTCTTAACAACTTCAATAGAGGTAAAATGGCATAAAGCAGCTGCAGCCAATATCCTATACTGGAATTCTAATGAATCAATGGAGAGAATACACAGATCCAGGAGCTATCCAAGGAAAAATAGTTAATTATGATCAGCTTGGGAAGTGAAGATTATAATTATATGCTTGTATGAAGGCTGTAACAGTATGTTAGGGGGAAAAGTGGTGACAGAAATGTCCTACCTCTTACCCTTCCACTTCTGTCAAAACACTAAGATTTGGTACTGGTCAATGGTATACATAAGGTTTTATTTCATATTTAATTTTTAAAGTAGATTTTATTATAATAGTAATAATTTAATTTCATGATTCTAATATCAAACCTTCACCTGGGTTCCCAGATCTGGCCAGCATGGTTGCAAGCTCTTGGAGGGCCTGCCAATCTGGAAAGACTACAGAAGGACAAATGTAATGGCAAACTATTTCTTGACCAGGTTACTTTTCACCCATCATAACTAATGAAAATAGTATAGATATAGAGGGGTCAGGTAATAAGGAGTTACACACACCCAAAAGTCACAGGTCTTTTATGGGATGTTGAAGTGCCACATAAAGTTATTTATAAGTTAAGGTTAAATTTCTACAGAAAATAATCAGAATTACCACTAGATCTCTTTTAGCCCACTTAAATTTTTTTAACCAGATTTTTAAAAAGAATTTTTTTTTTTTGCTTTTTGGTTAGGCAGTGGGGTTAAGTGACTTGCCCAGGGTTACACAGCTAGTAAGTGTTACATGTCTGAGGCCGGATTTGAACTCAGGTCCTCCTGAATCCAGGGCTGGTGCTCTATCCACTGCACCAGCTAGCTGCCCTGCACCTTAAGCACTCTCATCTTTTCTTTTTTAGGGGAAGTATGTTCATGGGAGTTTTAAGAGCAGTTTTATTCATTTTAAGCACAATACTCTCTGAAGTTCTCTGGAAACACAAGTGGGGAAAATAGGAAATAGTTTTTTTTGGTGGATTCAATTCAGTATGCTTTATTCAACATGAAAAACATAGGTAGTAATGCTAATATAAATCCATTAAAAACTTTTATACCTGGGCTATTTGAACAAACTTTTCCTGGGAATACTGAGGTAGGAGTACTTTAGGAACATCTTTTAGAGCATCGACTTGAAGAAAGACATTCAGCCAGGCAATGACTGTTACTGGACAGAGTTCCCACTTTAAAGCCTGTTAACAGAAGTTTTAAGTTCTATATTATAACAAAGACAAATTCATATTATTGGGTCTTTCAGAAGGCCTTTAAATATCATCTAGTCCATCCTTTCATTTTAGATGAGGAAACTACCTAGTGTGAGTAACTGAGAAAAATCTAAACCCCATTTCCATACTCCTTGTCCTTTCCACAATACTATACTGCCTCTAACATATTTTAAGAATCAGATTGATTTCAGCTCACTTCTTGACATCAGTTAAGTTTCTGTGGCCCAACTTCCTGTTTCCTGAAGTGTGTTGATAAATGGATGCTTTGAAATATTTATCATAATCTCTGGTTCTGGAAAATCAGAATTTAAATAGCCAAAACAACCATTCCCTAGTCCTGTTAGCTACTAGCCAGTGTCATTTGCACTGAAGCTCTTTGATCCTGATACTCATTCTCATTTCTCCAATTTTTCTTGACTATCTCTAATCTGGCTTACTCATCATTTAAAATGTTCTTAATGACAGTTTTGAATTAGCCATTATGTGGTCACTGACTATTCATTCGTATATTTGGCACACATTGCTTATTTTGTACAGTGTAGAGTATATGGAGAGATAACGAAGCTGAGATAAATAAAGTTCTTGGTTTCTTGGGGTTTATAATCTAAGCACATTGTGATATCCACAATGAAACAAAGCCATTACCAGCTAGGGCTAGATTATGAAAATGAACCAGCCTAGTATAATCATATAATGAAGTGATTGACAATGCACTTAGCATTTAATTGACCCTTAGAAATAATGAAAATTTATCTTAATTACCTTTAATATAATGAGTTCCATCCCCAGGATATCATCTTCACTGCAAGCACCATCCGTGACATAAGCAAATTCTTGTAATTTAGGAGCATAGATTTCCTTTAAAGATGAAATTTTGTATTTTAAATAAGAGCTCATAGTGAAAGAATATAAAAGCATTACTCAAGTCAGCTGTGCACTAAATATATTATCATTGAGGACAACTTCACAGATAAGTTATAAATCTTCACATTTATTGAAGGCTAAAGAGTGGCTGGTGGAAGTGGATAGAAAGACAGCAAAATGAATAAAAAATAGTTCATGCCTTCATAGGATTAGTTATGTATATAATGCAAGATAGAATGTAAAAGTGGAGTCAGAGGTACAAGTGAATGATGAGTCAAGATTTGAGTAACTACATCTGAATGAGGAATGATCTTGGAATTAAGAGTTTGGAACTTGGGGGAGGAACAAGTAGGCTGGTAAGAGACCTTGGTTAAAATAAAGGGTTTTAATAAACCCTATGCTTTGTTGAGAAGGAATGAATAGCATGAGCAAAAGGCATTATGTTGTGAATGCATCTGGGGTCCAGCATATTTAACTACTGTAAAATATGTACTTATAAGATGTAAAGGGAAAGTACCAGGGTAAGAGATTGGGACTAAATCACTTAGAACCTTAAATTCAGATGGAAGCATTTGTTCCTGATCCCAAAAATAATGGAGTGACATGAGCAAAAGTGTAATTTAGGATGAAAAGCTTGGCACCAGTCCCTACAATGGGACTGTATTGCAGGTAAGACATAAACCACATAATAACAACATGTTATCCTAATTCAGGGGATAGTAACAGTATTAAACATGAAACAATATCCAGGCAGGGGGGCAGTACTAACTTACGACCTTATAATCACATGCAGATGTAAAATATAAGGGTAATATGGTGAGCTAGAGATCTAAACATCTGCTAGAGTTCCTATTAAAAGCAGAACTGCTCACGAATTCTTGATTAGCCTTTGAGATTACCCTTCCCTACACCTTTTGAAGAACAAAGGAAATGTCATTCTGGATCTCATCCTGACAATATGAAGGAATTGGCTACCAAAACAAAAATGAGGGAAACATTGAAAGGTAATCTTGAGAGGAAGTCACTACTCTTTGAGTTAGAAGGAAAAGCCAGTTACAGTTGGGGACACACCATAGTTTTTTTGAAAAACAGATTTCAGAGAAAGGATAGGATGGTATGGTCAAAAATTATATAGTAATAGATGAGTTTGAAAAATATTATCAAATCTCATACATTGGACACAATTTAGTGATGATAAATTACTTTGACTCAAGACATCGTCTACCTTTAGTGATATATGCAGTGCCATTTTTGAAACACAGATTGTATGTAGTATCTGAACTTAATATTTCTTTGATGTTATTATGGGAACAAATGTATTGATGCAGAATCACTATGGAACTTCCAAAACAAAGGTGCTATAGAGTATTAAACATTTAACATTCTAATCAAGTACACGTGTTAAAAGTCTAAGTGAAAAGCATTTGCTACTTCTTCCATTAAAAATGTATTTCAGAAATCATCACTTACCTCAAGTTTTGAAGCAATGAATAATGAGGTAATACCAATGAGCTGAAGCATATTTTTGTTTATATCCTTTTGTGTCAACATAAATCTATCAAAAAAGTCTTGAGCAAGATAAAATGTTTCCCTGTGAAGTGTATATACTTCACATACCTAAAGAGGAATTAAGACATTTAAATTATTCTTTAGGTTTCTTCAAAGTGAAAAGTAATTCTAGACATACTAGAAGTTAAATTAAGCACTTTTATTTTTAAAGCTAGATTTTTAAAAATTACCTTGGGCAAATTTTTTAAAGTTGTTAGTTGCTACTAGAATGAGTGGGTTTATTTCTTCTCCCCAAACTACTAAGTGGAGGTGCCAATTTGCAAAACTACTTTATCTCCAATTTTACTTCCATACAGTTTATAGAAAGTTATGAATACTTGGGTCAGTTCCTCCCTAAAGTTATCACAACTATATGACTGAAAAAGGAAGGGGACCACTTGTATTAAGGGGGATAATAATGTAGTTAGCCCTTGTGAGACATTGATATTCAAGTAGGTCCCTGGAATATGGGTTTCTTAACCTGAGTCTGTGGCTAGATTTGGAGAGATCTGTAAACTCAGATGGGGAAAAAAATTTTTCAGTAGAACTAGTTTCCTTTTTAATACTATGTATTTTACTCATTTAAAAACATTCTTCCAGGGAGTTCATATGCTTCACTTGACTGCCAAGAGAGTCTGTTATACAACTTTAAAAACTGCTAATTAGAGGAAGACCTTTTTGCATCCTGGGTGGTGTCCTTGCAGAAGATTTAGGGAGGCAGAGATGAGACACAAGTAGTTAGGTGAAGCATCTGTTCTCTGATCAGTGAGATTATATTTCTGAGACACTGGTGCATCTAAGGGACACCTAAGACAATTACATGTACCTTTCCTTTAACTCTTACGTGCTTTTAAAGAAAGCTTTGTTAATGCTGTCTCTTTTTCCATCGCCAATGGGCCTCCTCTTCCCTAGAGAACACTCAGAACTTGTCAGCACACTGGTCATGTTTGAAAATGTGTGCCTCATTCTGTACCTGTAGTCCACCACCTCTGCTGAGCAGTAGGAGGTTTGGTTCAAAGAATCATCTTTTATTCTTTGTACCTTAGGGTCTACTGGTGGTACTTGGCTATTGCCTAACTATACAGGTGGCTTTCCAATTTAAAGTGATTATTCTAACAGGGGTAGACTTAAGGGTCTGGGTTTTTTTTTCCCCCAGAGGTGGTGAGAGGCAAGGTTAAGGGTATATTTCTGGAGTATGCTGTTAAATGAAATCCAGAAAAGTTTAAGATCACAGGCCTATCCTACAAGGACATTCAGAACTCTAGCTATCCTGCCTTTTTTCTTCAGAGACCGTGGTCTTCTCCAAGGAACCTCACTACCCTGAACCTGGGGGTTTAGGAATTGTTCAGTCAGACTTTTTATTTCCCCCAAATGCATGGGTATGTTAGGATTCCTTGGCATAGTTTAGGAATGCAGAAATTATATCTTCAGTCTCCCTGCTTGGTTCTTTCATTTTTACTTAAGAAAGTTGAGGATCCTATTTAGTGATCAAGCTGGTTAATGCCGTCTATAATACAGTTATAACTCAGCTCCTTAATGCTGCAGAATAAAAGCTCATAGTTCTTTATTACTTTAAGGTATATTGTTGAGTCACTTCAGCCACGTGCAACTCTTTGTGACTCCATTTGGGATTTTCTTGGCAAGGATACTGAGTGGTTTGCCATTTCCTTCTCCAGCTCATTGTTCAGATAAGGAACTGAGGCAAACAGGGTTAAATGACTTGCCCAGAGCAACACAGCTAGTAAAAGTGTTGAGACCAGATTTGAACCCAAGAAAATGTCTTCCCGATTCCAACCCCAGTGTTCTATCCATTGGGCCACCTAAGCGGCCCTACTTTGAGGTATACAAGGTATTTTCTTCACAGAACCTTTATATAATAGGTAGGGTATTATCATTTCACAGATGCAGAAACTATAGCCCAAGTTAAGTTAATAAGTGAGTCATAGATAGCATTTCAACCTAGACTCCTTTTAAATTCTTTAAACCCGTTCTTTTAAATTATCTCTCTCTAAGCATATGTGGCAATTGACATAGGGCTAGTTTCCGGTTTTAGTCATGCCATCAACTGCAAATAACACAAAGACTGAAGCAGATAAATTTTTTTTAAAAAAATCACTAGCCTAATTTCTGCTTTAAGAAATTTACATGGATGAGTATGGGAAATTTTGATTTTTAGTTTTTGAAACAAAGCAAAAATAGTTGAACTCACCTCTAAAAGCCAGTCCAGAAGTATTGACCTCATCTGTGGTTCTAAGTCAGAGTGTAGCATTTCAAAATGTTTGTCATGAACATATTTGGTCTCCTTTTTTAACATATTAAACCAGACATCCTTAGAACATCCCCAACTATGAAAGAGAAAAAGAATATGATATACAGTTTTGTTGGGCAAAAATGTACTTCATTTCTATTGAGGGATCTATTAAATTAAGGTATATGGCTTTTACAATTAAATTCAAACATTGAATAGGATGGCTTGCACAAAGTCTAAGCTTAGGAACTGGGGCTACATGAATAAACAGTTCCCATCCTTAAAAGATGTTAAGAACTACTAGGGAGGGACACAATATATATGTACATTAGTACTAGTAAACTGATGAGAAGGGATCCAGACAAAGAGTTTTAGGAAAACTTAACTTAAGCTAGAACAGTGGGAAAGGGGATAGAGGTACATCATTGTAGATTTCATTAAAAAAGGTAGAACATAAGGTTAGCCTTTGAGAAAGGAGTTTGACAAAGATAGAGAATGAATGTATTTTAGCCATGAGAGACCATTAAAACAATTAATGGAGGTCATCTTGTACAAAACAGGTAGTTGTCCAATTACATTATGTGAAGTAATTTGAAATAAGGACAGAAAGGTAGGCTGGAGCTAGTGTAACAGCATGCAGACTAAGGAGTTTTTTCTTTTATCCAACAAAGCTACATAAAGGCTCATTCATATCCACAGTATCATCTTCAACTTGTCATTCACACTCACCTCACCTTTCCACTCTGTGACCAAATGTTATTTCTGTCTTCACCGCTGCTACCCTGCTTCAGATCCTTTCTCATTACCTCCCATCTGCACTGTTGCAATAGTGTTATGGTTGGACTCCCTGCCTCAAGTCTCCTCCTACTCTAGTCCATCACTCAGCTACCAAAGAGATCTTCCTAAATCCCCTGTGTCACCATGTTACCTGCTGCCATCTATTTAAACTCCAATGGCTCCCTGTTACCTCCAGGATCAAATATAAAATCCTGTAAGACTTGTTAAGTCCTTAACAACCTGACACCTTCCTATTCTTCTTGGATTTAACTTCCTTCCACATGAATGACACTGGCTTTCTTGCTGTTCCTCACACATAATACTCATCTCCCAACTTGAGCATTTTCCCTGGCTGCCCTGGGTGCCTAGAATACTCCCCTCCTTACAGTCCCCACAGCTTCTCTGGCATCCCACAAGATTGAGGTCAAATCCCACCTTTTGTAGAAAGCCTTACCTGGTCCCCAGCTGCTAGTATTTTCCCTCTGAAATTATTTTCCATTTACACTAGATGTACATTGTATGTATCTTGCAGATATATAATCATTTGTTTCCCCCATATTAGAACATAGGGACCATGATTTTGCCTTTCTTTGTATCCACAGCACCTAGCACAATGGTTGGCACATAGGTAAATGCTTACTGACTAAAGAAGCCACTAAAAGTTTGTGAACAGTGAATTGACATGATTATAAGATCAGACTTAGAGATGGATAAAGGTCAGGTGATCTCTGTATTGTATTGATAACTTCGTGAAGAGTATAAAAGGGGAGACTAGATAGGGAGATCAGTTAGGAGGTTTTTACAGTGAAAGGGGATTTTTGATTATTGATAGTTGTTTGAGCCTCTTAAAAGTTGGTTTTGCAGTATTCATTCATTCTTCTAATAATAGACTTTTAAAAGTTTTCAGATCTTTTCCATTTATATATTTGGTTCCCTCAACAATCCTGTGGAATAAGTTCTACAAGTATTATAATCTCTTTTTTAGAGATGTGGATATTAGGCCTGAGAGATTGTAACTTGCCCAGGATCACATAAGTACTAACTCTCTTAGCCAGAATTGAAATTTAGATGTTCTTGAGTCTTTAAGTTCATGGTCCTATTTTTTAGGCCACTTGGAGGCACTAACATGATAATTTTTTAAAAATATAAATGTGTTTTATAAATATATATGTATATACATATATATGTGTATAACTTTTAATTGAAGAGTACTTGTGTTTAATTTTTAGGTTGGCCTTTCAGGATGACAGTAAAATAGCAATAAATCAGTAGCAACATTAACTTAAATTATAAATATTTTAGGTTTTCCATCCATTTTAGAAAAGTATTGAAAATAACTTACCTTAGGTCAGGCAGAGGTGAAGGATTTATGAAAAGGTTTTTAAACCTATAATTAGTAAATCTGGAGAAGTCACTGGTGACAGTTTCTTTGTGTGGTGTTTCAATAATAATGCAAGGAGTGATACCCCCAGATAACACAGATGGCCAGCAATTCTGTCATTTAAAGAAAATAAAAATTTAGTTTATTGATGATCTATTTTATTCAATAGTAAAAAAGATCTGTTTATAATTTTTAGAAATGAAACTTATGATTGTAAAAGCACCTATGTATCAAGCAATCTGATTTTTAGAAATCAAGTATTTAAGATGACATGTAAGTTATACAGAGTATTTATTTAGTTCCTAAGTGTCAAGATGACAAAATATGGTCAAAGGATCAAATCTTTGCAACTAGCAGAAACCTGAAGCAGAAAATAAGAAGGCCAAAAGTGGAGTCACCACAGAGCTAATTAAATGGAAACAGGTAGAGGAGGGAGCATGGGAAATGTAGTTTTAGAATGCCAAATTTCTAGACTTACAAAAATTTACATTTTCCTCACCACAGCTATACCAACAAGGGTGCCTTCTGAAAATAAGATTCTCACATTTTACTTATACCTGCTTCATGAGTCAATTTATACTATTTAACTGGGAAACTTAAAACACTGAAAATGACTGAGAAGTAATAAGTGCTGTTTTCCAAAAGAATGTGTTCAAGGGGAGCAGTGTAAAAGTATAGAGCCTTGGCTCCAGGATCCCCTTCATGGCAAAGTATAAGAGAAGGGATAATAAGGTTCCAGTAAAAAACTTGAGGTTCTGGATGTTGGACCCAAATGCCAGGCTATCCAGGTTGTAGTCAGTAGAACACTGGTACAGTCATGAAGTGAACAAAGAGCTGTATATCGGAAAGGATTAGGCGGGCCCTGGACTGGCCAGACCACTCCAAGGGGGAGGGATTTACAAAGAGGAACCAGCTGCTAGAAGACTGACTTACTCTGTACTCTGCAGTTGTAATAGTCAGGCTCATATATCCTAAATCACCCAGACGCCAAGCTGAACCTCTAGGCGGCATTTCAAGGTAAAAAATATCACATGGACCTTTTCTATTGTGAAGCAATACCCCTCAAAATCTTCCACCCATGGCCTTAAGTGGCTTTCACTAATCCACCCTGCTTTTACCCAGTCTTGCCTTACCCTAATTTCATATTGCTGTCTCTTGGCCACAGTCTCCTCTTTTCTTTTCTTTACATCCTAGAATATAAAAAACAACCAGTAGTAAATTGAAGTCCCAAAACGATAACATCAAGTGTTCTTGTAACTTTTCTGAGCTTCTCGACTTACCTGAGCTGTTTTCCTTTTTTTGGCTTGAAGGAATTGAGTTTCCGGGGGGGAATCTGTTTGACTGGTCTGTGGCTGCTGCTTAGCTTGCAGTCGGCTACTACAAATGGTAAACAAAAAGAAGGGAAAGAATAAAAAAAAGATCTGCTGTTGAACAACAAGCACTCTCATATAGATTACACAAAATATTACCTTCTTCTTGACATTTTTTTCTTTGGGTTCTTCGAAGCTTCTGGAGAAGGAAGGGGAAAAATAGTCAAGCACATGGTTAGTTAGATGTGTGTTCCATAAACCAGAGTCATTAGTGAAGTGGGGAGATAGTCATTTTGGTTGTCCCATCATTATTTATTCTAGATTTTCCAAATTAATTTACTGGGGAGGAAAGGGGGAGAGCATGCTTTTCTATCCACCACCAGATGAAGTACAAGAACTCTGAAATACATATTATGCAGACTTACAAAATCCAAATGACTATTTATATAGATTATCCCACAGAGGGAGGCCCGAAGTAAATTCCCCAAACAGGTCTCCCCTCTGCACGACCCCCATTCCCATGCGGGGGGAAAGGAGGGAGACTTAGGCACCTTAGCCTTCTACCCCTCCTTGGAGGCAGCAGCAGCCGGAGCTCCCCGAGTCCCTGGCCCCTAGGTGCTAGGTGCCCAGGATCCTGACCCGTCTGCACTAGGGCTGGGTGTGGAGGTCGGGGGATGGGGGGGGTGGGAGGTGGGGGTGGGGGTGGAGAGCCAAAACTCTGGGGAAGCCGGTTCCGCGCCAATTTGGAGAGCGGCAGTGGCGGGGAAGCCAGAGGGGGAGGGAACTGAGGCTCGGGTCGTGTCCTTCAGCCTCCTCACTTCCCTTCCTCTCCGCCCTCGGGCAGGGAGGGGGCAGCCAGTCCTTTCCCTCCCAAGCCCCCGCTTGGGAAACTGGGAGTAAGAATGGGCTATCTTCAAACAAGAAGTTTCCCCATACCAAAGCTGGGCAAATCCTGCCCTGCCTGCCCCTTCCCCCATCCTGACCCCAAAGCAGGCAGGAGGCTCCATTCTCTCTGGGCTGACACCCCCTGGGCTCCAGCTACCCTGGGCACCCCACGCAGCTCTGCCCGCCCGCCCTCGGGCAACAGGGTCCCGGGGTGACCCCAGGTTCGTGACACGCAGCCGTCCCTCCCAGGCTGAGCCTTCCTGAATCCCTCTTCCCGGCTCGGGCTCCCGCCCGCGGGAAGGAACCCGACCAGATAGGATGGATATGAGCTCCGCTCAGCGGGGGGGTCCCCGAGTCCCCAGCCCCCAGGCCCCATTACCTGCTCCACCATCAGCCCGGCTGCAGATCCGCTCTCAGCTGGCGCCGGCGCCAACCCTATATATACCTCGGAGCCAGCACCGCCCCATACGCATGCGCCTGAGACTGACACCCCTGGACAGCGCCTGTTCCCCTCCCCCGCCTCGGCCCGCGCCGCTCGCCAGCCCCGCCCGCCCCGCCCGGCGCGCGGGCGTCCTGCGGCGCGAGCCGCTACCCAACCGGCGCGAGCCCCACCTGGCTCCCGCCTCGCCTGGTCCTTTTCCTCTACGCGAAGGGTGCCGGCGGCCGCAGGCCGCGGGGCCCAGACCCTAGGCTCTGGGGGGAACAAGGGAGCTGAAGAAGAGACTCCTTTCTCGTCTCTCCTCTCCGGCCCCGGCATCTCCCGCCACGACTCTCCTCCCGCCCCTCCGCCCTCGGGGACGGGGCCTGACTCGAGGGTGTGGCAACTGTAAGGAGGCTATGAGGAGGTGGGGGAAGAAGCGGATAGGCTGGTCGGAGAGGTGACACCCGTCAAACCCGAAAGGTGAGACGCCGGGGCCATACGGGCGGCGGCAGCAGCGGAAGAGGAGCAGGAGGTGGCAGCGGCCGGCGGCTGCTCCTTTCCTCAGCTCCCGGCACAGGCGCTGGCTCCGCCCCTTCACGAAAGGGGCGGGGCCAGGGCTGCCCCTCTGACCAATGGGATGCGACAACGGCACTACAACGTGGAGCTGCTGCAGAATGTAAACAGTGCCGAGGCTGCCGGGCCGAAGCCGGCGTGGTGGCATGTCCTCAGCTGGCCCCGCAGCCCTGTGCAGCCACAGACGCGGCTCTTGGACTTCGTGTCAGAGAAAGAGGGAGGTCGGTAGGAGGGCAGGGCCTGGTCACGGACCTTGCCCTTTGTCCCCGCTCCTGGACTAAGACGTATCTCCCCATTTTCCGCCTCTGTCCTGGGCCCTCACCTCTCCTCCTCCAATCCCCCAGTCCACCTCGGAGGCCTGGTGCTGGAAGCGCGAGCGCCGTCTCTGTGCTTCCTTCCTACTGCCATGCGGGTTCAGGCTCGTCGGGGTTCCCAGAAGAACCCCGGCTTTCGTCTGCGGGACGTGCGGGAGGGGTAGGGGAGAGGGTTGGTCTTCCGCCGCTAGCCTAGGGGGGCGAACTAGGCACAGGTCCGGACCACGTGTAGTGCCCGCCCCCTTCTCTGGGCCCGCCACCGCTGCGGCGAGCCCGCCTTGGAGCTTCCCGCGTGAGCCCCTGCGCGGGCAGGAGCCGCCGGAGGTTCTGCGGGACAGCCCGCCCAGCGCCTTCCTATCGATGGAAGACGAGTGGCACCCCCTGCACCCTCCTGTCTCTTCCTGTCTTTGGCCTGATTGCCCCACCCTTCCCCTGAAGGTATGTGGGACCGACCCTCGGGACACGTCGACTTTCAGTTTCCTTAGACTGGACTAAGCTGGAGCTAAGCGCTGGCCCCGAGCGTGCGGGCCTGGACTCTGGCCGGAGGAGGGAGAAGGGTTTATCTTTCCCGGCAGAGCTCGAGCTGTTGAGGTCGGGCGTGCGGGGCAGAGAAGCGGGACCAGCTCCGGCCGCATGGAAGGGGCACGGCTTCATTTGTTCGGGATGCCTTCTCTGCGGCCTGGCGGGGCTTCACCTCCTTCCTAGGGAGAGGAGAAGGATACGCAGACACAGAGGGGGAGGGGGAGAACTGGGGTGTAGGGGGAGCATGCAGAAGTCTTTGAATGGATTGCAAGGAAAAGCTATCCACTTAGACAAAACATACAAGAAATCAGGCCGTGACTGAGACTAATTATTATTTAGAATGAATAAACAAACGCTTGACCAATTAGCAAATTGTAAAGGAGGCACTTAAATTTAAAATACTTTCCCATATATGTGTATGTATGTATTCACAAACAGGCTTACAATAAAAGAAGTCTTGAATACTCATAAGGCCACCTTTTAAGGAAAATTGTAGTCACTTCTGCCACATTAGAAAGAGAGGCAGAAGTAGCATTGTGTATTAAGAAAACATACACGTATTATCTATGTATACTTATACGTACATACTTACACACATTTTGGTCATTCTCTTTCCTTTCAAACAAATACGCAGATCAGGCTAGCAGTAAGAGAGATCTTCAGAATACTCATAAGGCTCCCTTCTAAGGGACATTGGAGTCACTTCTGCCATATTAGAAAGAGAGGCAGAATAGCATTGTGTATTAATATATACATATGTAGTATATATACATGCATGTATATCTGTATATACACGTATACAGATATATTTTAGTTGTGATCTGAAGTTTTAAAAGAATACTCAGATGAGGATGGCAGTAAATAAGGCCTTCAGAATACTCATAGCACCTTTTTAGGGAATTTGGAGTAGCTTCTGCTATATTGGAAAGAAGAGACACAAGGTACCATTGTGTATTAAGAAAATATGCACATGTGTATGTTTTACATATTGTGTATATTTACATATTGTATAGTTACATATTTTTGTTATGCTTAGGTGTTAAAAGAATACCAGCTCAGGATAGCAACGTACTAATAATGTCACCTTTTTAGGGAAACTGGGAGTCATTTTAGCCATATTGGAAGGAGGAGAGGCAGAATACTATTGTATATTAAGAAAGTATACTCATGTGAAAAAAATCTAGAAACCACAAAGAGAGAAGCATGGTAAAGGGCATTTGGACGAAGATCAACAGGAAAAACCAAAGTATTATATGATGTATGTTGTGTATCACTACATGCATATATGTAGTTTATCATGGTTATAAATGTTTAGGTGTTTTTGTCTCTAGAAGTCAAAGATAAAGTTCTTTAGAATCTCATAAGTATGAGTGGAGATTGAATATTACCATTTCCCAAAATTTTATCATCTTTCATTATGTCACCTTTTGTTTTATTTCTTCCATCCATAATAATTTCATTTTCCTTTACCTCATTTCCCCATATAAACCAGGGTTAAAATTCTTTCATCCCCCAAATTTATAAGATTTTCTTGTACATATCATGTGTGCTTTTGTGTGTGCTTTTATTCTGATAGAAGGAATATTCTAGAATATTTTTCCACAGTAGCCTAAAATTCAAAACATTGCAATTTTACTACATGCTTTACCAACAGAATGAGTGACAATGACCTTACCATGATTAAAGTGGAATCAAGTCAAAAGCATTATTAAATATTTACTAAGTGTATTTGTTTGGTCATTCATTCCTGCATTATTCCTTTGAAGATGACAGGAAAATTCTCAAAAGTACAAGTTTTGTTTTGTTTTGTTTTTAATGGATTGCTTCCTAATACTATTGTAAGAGCCACATTGACAATGAATTATTATATTAAACTCAATGCAGAGTAAGCATTCATAGTGGAGAACATCCCAAATAATGCAGTCATTTTTAATGTTTCTATTCTTTTAGATTTATGAAAGTAAGTAGAACTGAATACAACTTAATACTTTTTTGTTGAGGCCAAAATAAACAAGAACAAAATTCTTTTTCCCCTTAAGCTTCTTGTTTCATCTTATGTTCATCAAAAATGTTTTTTAAAACTCAGATTCCTACTCATGCGCTTGTCACAGTATCTTGAATACTTAAAGTATCCATTGTTTCATCAATTGTGGGCACTTTCTCCATGGATACATATCACAACCTTCCTGTACTTTAGTAGATGTCTTCATGGATTTGTTACGGCCAAAAAATTAATCACATAATAACCAACTTTATTATAATGAGACTTTCTGCACTTAGGTAGGTTGATTGTTGGGCTGCAGACATACGGGTCATTGGAGACCCATGCCCAAAGCTTTTTCGGGTTGTTGGGACCTTCTAGGAAAGTGAACATGGGGGTAATAGATAGAGAGCCAGCCTTGGGTTCAAGTCCTGCCTCTGACACATGCTGTATGTGTGACCCACTTATTCTTTCTCAATGTCCCCATGTATTTTCCTCCCTGAGTTTCCTTTGTCAATGGAATCAAAGATCTGTGTCAAAAAAAAGGAACTACCAGAGCTTGTAGGACTTCATGGAGGCATTTTTACAAAGTAAGGTTAATAGTTACTCTAAGATAAATGTAAAAGTTATTGTTCTCCTCTGCCAAAGTTATACCACAACATCTTGGCATACATCTAATTCATTAAGCAAAATTATAGAATGACATGGTTGGGTAGAACCTCAAAGGTCATCTGGTCTACCTGAATACAAAATGTTAATCTATTTTACCATATCACCAGCAAGTTGTCATTTAAATTCCAGGGAACTCGATATCTCTCTAGGCAGCACATTTTGGCTTTTGAGCCGCTCTAATTTTTAAGATTTTATTTTTAATTTTAGTAAGCCAAAATTTGCTATCTACTGATCCTGGGTCTGCCATACAAAGGCAATTAAATCATGTCTTCCACATGAGAAGATGATTACGTTTCATTCGTGTGTGTGTGTGTGTGTACACATATTTTAAAGGGATATATGTGTATGTATATATATGTGTGTTTTAAAATATTTTCTTTTCTAGACTAAACGGCCCCAATTCATCTGCTGATCATTACTTGAACATGGTTTCAAGTTTCTTTACTATCTTGCCCTAGCTTGTTATTACTCCTAAATTTGGTACTGTAATACATAATACCAGACATAATGTTCTAGACATGATTTGCTCTGTAAGTGCAGTCCTGAGACTGCATTAACTTTTTTGTGTTTTTTTTTGTGAGTATAACAGATGTAAGACAAAAACAAATAGGGTAGAAAAGTCATGTTGTCAGAATAACCTTTGTTGGGGTAGCTAAGTAGCACAGTGGATAGAGCACTGGCCGTGAAGTCAGGAGAACTCTGAGTTCAAATGTGGCCTTGGACCAAACACTTGACACTTCCTAGCCATGGGACCCTGGGCAAGTCACTGAACCACAATTGCCTTAACAAAACAATAACCTTTGTTGCTGAGGCTGTCCTAGAAATTTTTTTATATTTCTTTCTTTCTTTTCCAAATATTTCTTTCTTAAGTGGGATTCAGTCTCTGAAAAGCACTAGTTGGATGTAGAAAGTAAATATGAAGCCTTAGCTGGAGTGAATGTTCTTAGGCAGGTAATTCACGTAATAAATTTATTAACATGCTAGAAAGTTGCAAAAGTTTAGATAAAACATGGTCTCAGCCTTGTAGAATTTACAATTAAGTTCTTACCTAATATTTAGGGAAGTATGACACAGGAATTCTTACCTTAAGTGCAATAATCTTTAAACTTTGCTAGAGTTATTAAAAATACAAATGAAAAGGATAAAAATTATTTAGTAATTGTGAAATTTATAAGATTTAATAAACTACAGTGGCTTATATTCATCATACTTTTATTGTTATTTAATTTCATGGTAGGTTTATACTATGCCATGTTCTAGATAACAATAGATATAGTCAGTCAGTCAGTAAACATCTATTACACACTTGCTGTGTGCCAGGCACTGTGTTAAGGCCTGGGGATACAAATAAAGATAAAAGGCAGACCCTATCCTCAGGTAGCTCACAAACTAATAGGGGAGACAGCATGCAAATAATTATGTACAAACAAGCTATAT